GTTAAAAAATGGGCTAAGAACTTGAATACTCATGCTTCAAAGAAAATAGATATACATATGACTAAGAGGAAGATGAAAAGATGCTGAACATCACTAATCAGGGAAATGCATATCAAAATCATATCATCTCACACCTAAGTTAAAATGAGTGTTATCAGGGCCAAAAGATGACAAGTTGGCCAGATTATGGAAAATTTGAAACTCTTGTACACTGCTGGTGAAAACATGAAATGGTACAGGCACTTAGGAAATTAGCACCAAGGTTACTGAAGAAAGAAATGAGTGCTATCACCCACCATGAGAGACAGCAGACTAAAACTGGCAGAATGGTGCCCGACCTCTGTGCCATAGAGCCAACCCAGAGCAACACCCCATCCCTACTCCAGAGGAGTGGTGCCCTGCCCAGGGGAGCACAGCAAAGACTGACCCAATCCTGGAAGGGAACAACACCAGGGGAAAGAGCAGAGCAACCAGGCCCTATGACTGCTGACATTAACCAACAGCCCCCCCAAACCCCTCACCACCACCCTGCAGCCTACATGCAGCAGGGAACGGGATTGATCGTGTTCCCCATCTACCAACAGGAGTAAGGACACACCATGCCTTGAATGGTAACCACATTCTGGGGTGAACAAGGAAAAGGGCCTCTTGTGCAAGAAGAGTCCCTCAAAAACACAGAGACCCTAAAGGTAGGCATAGAAAATCACTACTGGATGGATTCCAAGGTTGCAAATTTTGGGAAAAAAATCACTCATTCAATAACATATGAATTTTTTCTTTGACTCTTTCATTTTTCTATTATTATTTTATCTTAATCAGGTTTTTTTGGGGGGAAGGGTAGAGATTTTCTTTCAATTTTTTTTTCTTCTAGTTTTTTTTTTGTTGTTGTTGTTTTACCTTTTTGCCTCCCAACTTTAACTTTCTATTCTTATCTTTTATTTCCCATTTTTGCTCTTTATCTCTTTGATGCTTTGTTTTTTTAATCATTGTCTCCAGCAGCTGTTTTCCATTAAATTCCTTTAACTCTTCTGTAGGACTCCCTGTCTTATTTTTCTTTCCCCCTTCTCATATCCAGTTAACTTTCCAAATTTTGCTTTGTTCATTCTCCAGTCCCTCCCTCCTTTGTCTTTACTAGCGTAACTACTAAGGTTTATGAATCTCTAGGTAACTTTACATTATTGTTGATGAATTCTGTGTGATTGATAGTAGAGGTAAATTTGTTCCATTTAGTAGACATTAACTGTAGGTCAATAGTAGATCAGTCATTGTTTTGTCGTAGTATTCATGCTTTAATTAAAGATCTATTTTCTATCGGCAAGCATGGTATTTCATTGGTCCTTAGGGTTTGTTGATATTTAGATTGTATTGAATGCCATAGTTAATGCTAATTTTGTTATTACAGGCAAGGTGACATAGCTGTTGGTATTAATTGGCTTTTGGGGGAGTTCCTCAGAATCCCGTGGGGTCATTAACAATACTATGGTCTAGTCTGGAGAACTGGATCAAATACACTCAGTCAAATATACAACAACCTTCTATCTCAAGTATATAGAGGTGGTTGGCTCCTGGGACAGAAGCAAAGGCCAGGAAAACACACCCACAACTGAAAAGTCGACAACACCTACACATTTCATGTACAACAGAATGTGTATTCTGTAACTCCGTACATGTTTATTTAGTCCATTTGTTGAAGGTGTTGTACAACTCTGATATTTCTTTGTTGATTTGTTTGCCATTGATCTATTTGTTATGGTGGAGTACTGAGGCCCCTGATGATTGTGTTTATGTTGATATGATCTCTTATGTCCATTTGTACTTTTTACAAATTGGATGCAACGTAATTGGTGTATATTGGTTAATAACTGTGGCCTCTTCCTGTTGGACTGTTCCTTTGAGCAATATGTAATGTACTTCTTTGCCTCCAAGCACAGTATCCATACTAGAAACAAAGCCTTCCACTACAGCCGACCCTCATGCCTCTACCCAAACAAACAAAAATAGAAACGTGAAAAGACAAGTCAACAAAATGTCTCCAGAAACTCCCAACTCTCACAAAGCTGATCTATGGGGCATCAAGAAAAGAAACCCAAACTTCATACCCAAATTATCCAAAATGGTATCAGAGGAGATAAGAAAACAGATCAGTAAGGAAAGTGGCAAGCTCACAGAGGTTATAAACAGTAAACTAATGGGCCAACTATATAAAATCAGTAAATTCGAAGAAGATTCTTCATAGAGATTTAGGAGCTAAACAGAACAATGCAAAACATGCATGGCCAGCACAGAAAAGAATTCCAGTAAAAAGACAAAACAAACCTCCAAAAGATAACTCAGCATGGTGGCACACACCTGTAATCCCAGCACTTGGGAGAGTGAGGAAAGAGGATTATTGCAAGCTTGAGGCCAGCCTGAGCATATTTCAAGCCCAGCCTGAACTATGTAATAAGACTCTGTCTCAAAAGACAAACCTCTGAAAGGAAATTGAGGAGATTAAAACTTTTACTAAAAATATAGACAGCAGAAGTGACCAATGTGAGGACAGAGTCAGGACTAAAAGACAGAGTTCCTCATTGCTGGCCAATTGCTGAGACAGATCTTCAAAAAAACAAGAGACCAATAATGCCTGACTGGCAAGTGCAAGGTCATGAGTTCAATCCCAGTACAAAAAAAAAAAAAAAAAGAACAGGGGAACGTAAAAAAAATGAATCCAGCACCTCCTAATTGATTTAAAGACTAATCAAAGGTTAATTGGAATTAGTGAAAAATCAGAATATAGCACAAATGGCATAAAAACTCTTTATAATCCCAGAACTTGGGAAGCTGAGGCAGGAATATCACTGTGAGTTCAAGACCAGCCTGGGCAACAAAGTGAGTTCAAGGCTATCCCGAACTTTATAGTGAAACATCGTCTTGAAAAAAGACTGGGAAAAAATGTATGCCTTTGTAGATGTGAAGACTTATTTAGATATCCTGGAACTAGGCCACTAGGAAGCTACAATTACTTGATTTTAAAACCAGACAAAAATCCAACCAAAAAAGAACTATAATCAGTTTAATGAATGTAGATACAAAAATCCTTAACAAGATACTGGCAAAAACAGAATGCAATACATCATCAAAAGGAACATACATTGTGATCAAGAGGGCTTCATCACAGGAATACAAAATTGTTCAACATCTGCAAGTCAATAAATATAATCACATAAACAGAATCAAGGACAAAACCCACATAATCATCTTAATACATGCAGAAAAAGACCTTGACAAAATCCAACATCCTTTCATGATAAAAACACTGAGGAAAACAGATACAGAAGGAACTTATTTATGACAAATCTACTGCCAACATCATATTAAACAGGGAAAAACTGAAAGGTTTTCCCCTAACATTAGGAACAAAACAAAGATTTACACTGTTGATGCAACTGTTCAATATATACTTGAAACATTATATAGACAAGTAGGGCACAAAAAGAAAAGGGATATGCATAGGAAAATATGAAGTTAAAAATATCATAATTAACAGATGACATAAGCCTTCCAAAGAAGATCCAGAAAAATCTACCAAGACATTCTTAGAATTAATAATCAAATTCAATAATCTAACAGGATGTAAAGACTTTCTAAACTATCCCAGTTATGTAGGAAGTAGTTCTCAAAATCAACCCACTGGATCATATCAAATTTTAAAAGCTTTTGTACACACAAAGAAACAACCAACAGGGTAAACAGATAGCCTACAGGATGAGAAAAGATTTTTGCCATCAATTCCTTAGAAGACTTCTATCTAGCATACGTAATTAACTCAAAAAATTAGACACACCTAAAATAAAAGACAATCAAAAAATGAGCAATTGAAATGAATAAAACTTCATAGAAGATGTACAAATGGCCAATAAATACATGAAGAAATGTTCATCACTGACTTTAGAGAAATGCAAATTACAACAACACTTAGATTCCATCTTACCCCAGAAAGAATGGCCGTCATCAAGAAATCAAATAAGAACAAAGTTTGGCAAGGCTTTGGGGAAATGCAGCCCTTCTATGGTTGACAGGAATGCAAACTAGTACAACTACTATGGAAATTAGTGTGAAGATTTTTCAAAAAACTGAAACTAGAAATTCCATTTGATCCAGCTACTTAGATACCTTTCTACCGGAGTTAAACACATCACAGTACAATGGCAAATGCATACCCATATTTATAGTAGCACACAGCATAGTAGCTAAACCTTGGAAGTAGCTTGTATGTCCATCAGTAGAAGATTGGATAAAGAAAATGTATTTAAACAGTCTCAACTCTGCCACAAGGAAAGATAAATTTGATTCATTTGTAGGAAAATGGATGCACCTTGAGACCATAATGTTAAGTGAAATAAATTGGACACACAAACTTAAGTATCACATGGTTTCTGTAAAAGAAAAAGCAGAGAACAAAACAAAAATAGCAAGTAGGGAGATAGATCTTTCTCAGAGATGGAGAGGATTACGAGATGAAAGGGGAGGGAAGTAAGAAAAAGCATTGCGATGTAGTGTGTACATATACCAACTCTCACAAGAAATGTAAACATTGTGTACAACAACCATGTACCAAAAACAGGTGGGGGAGGGGATCAAGAGATGGATGTTGGGGGAAGGGAAGGGAAAGAGGATGAAAAAATTAAGATGTGTCATGTACATGAACAAGCATCCCACAAGGACTGTAAATGGCACGTACTGCACAAATAAAAAAGCAAATAGAAATCTTATCACTTCGTGTGTCCTCACTTCATTTTCTTTGTGTTCGTTTACCTCTCTCGTATCTTCCCAATCATTCACCAGCCTGTTTTCACTAAGCAGTCTTTCATTTGTGTCTAACTGCTTTGGCTTCCATTGGTTTTTGAATGTGGTAAGAAAAAAAGTTGTGTTTTATTAATGTTCATACATGCAAATACTACTTTTATTGTTTATGTAGAATAAAACATGTCTATTTTTAACAGATATCCCGCTCAGAAGGGTTGAAATTGACACTACACCAACTGAGGTAAGGGAAGTTGGAAGAGAACTTCTAGTAGTAATTATTTTATAAAGGGATAAAATATTTGTAACTAGAGAAATAATTGCAGAAGGCAAGAAAAAAAAAAACACCAAAGGAGTTACTCAGTTGTTTCATTGTTATTTCTGTGATGGCACTATCTGGACTGTCTCACAATTTTTAAAAGTTAAATAACACTCTAGAAAGGGAAGTTTCAGCATAAACAGCAAAATGTAAAAATGCATATGGCGGCAGGAAACAAAGTATCAAGGAAAGAGAAGGGAAAATAAGAAAAGGGCATGAAGTTTTATGTAAGATAGTAGAAATGGATGGCATAGACCTAACTGTACTTTGACTCACCAGACTCTTTTATCATTTTGTAAACTTTGTCCATGGGATAATATTACATATTTTATATTAAAAATCAGTAAGAAATGGAACTCAACTAATACACTTTGCTACTCACCTAATTTAATAGGAGGTATTCATTCTGTTGACTACTGAATCCTCATGAAACTAACAACAAATGACAGGCTTTTCTGTAGTGCTTGACAGATACAGTGATTTCCATGCTTCAGTCAATTGCTCCCAAATAACAATTGAAGAACAAGTATTTAATCTATTCCTAAAAGAGAAAAAATAATATAGATTTGTCATATCATTAAGTTTACATTTGCTGTGAAACAGGCAGCTTTTCTCTGCCACATCCTACCACCATGATGTTTCAGCCATGAAGCCAGACAACAAAGGACTGAAACCATGATCCAAACAACCCCCTCCTCCATGACGTTGTGTATGTCAGATATTTTGCCACTGTAATTTAAAGCCAACTAATACATACATTTTTCACTTATCTTTAATGTAAAATTTTTCTGTTAAATTCATTTAAAGCAATGGTCTTTCAAATGTTAGAAGTCAAACTGTTTTAAAGGAGATTTGGGGCATTTCAAGCAAAAGAAAAGCAAATAAGCAAACGTACAGGTTTAGAAAAACAAGTATATATTTAAACAATTCAGACAGATGTGATTGGTTAGAGGAGGTGAGATATGTTAGAGAATATTGAGGGAACTCTACATAGTTTCAAGTCCCTATGCAAGGGCAATGAACAACAGTCAAAATAGAAAGTCCCTGGAGATTTAAGAACAGATCATGTTAGCTGCTTAATTTTAATGAAACTTTAAAGTAAAATCCCAAAGTACTTCATATGAAAATGTCATTCACTGAATTCTTTTAATTAGCTTACTATAAAAGGAGGTAACATATAGGACAGTGGCTCCTATAAGGAGGGGGTGTCAGGTTTCCTCTGGATGAGCTGGGACTGTGGCTGTGCATCAGGATCCTTTCAAAGCCACCCAGATGCCCTCACTGCTATCTCGAGTGTGATCAGAAGACAAAGCAGCCACGGAAGACTTGGGGTCCTCTGAGTTTAGGTTACTAGTCATCCTGGTGACTGAGGCAAGGAGCTGCAGCTTCAGATCCTGTGTAAATAAGGATCAGGACTGGCTTATCATTGAAGTGTCTCCATCTCTACAAATTTAATGGTTCTGTGACTCTAACAGATGCGTGTCCCAACAGTGTGGCTCATGTAGGCCACAGTGAATGAAGAGGAATTGTCTTGGGCTGCACATAAAACATGTAATATACTTAATGCGTATAAGCAACAAACTTTTTAAATTTTTAAAATCTTAAATTTTTTAAATTTTGACTTCTTATGAAATAATACAAGCCCAAGATTAATAATTAAATAACAAAACTTGTATTTCTATTTAATAGCAGGATACACATGTGTAAATATGTTGAAATACCATTATTGTAATCACCGTATTACTCATCAGTTGCACAAATAGCTATTAGTTCTGATGCATTCTGGCTTCAATTCCCCTGACTATGCATGGCCGCACAGGAGACAGAGTTAAGTACAGTGCCCTGTCCTCTACCACATCCTCTTCTCACCTACACAGTTCACACTCCAGCAGCATAAAATTGAATAATGAAAAACATTCCTAAAAGTTAAAGAATAATGTTAAACATTTATAATCTGTGGTGCTGCTTTCCTTACTGCCCTGGGCACATGTGGCCTATGGGCCGTGGGTTAGGCACATTTAGCAACAACTATTTCTTTGAGCATTTTTAAGTATTTATTTAACAATCCCGGTCGTTTTGTTTTTGTTTTTGTGTTTTGAGATACAGTCATGCTACATAGTTCAGGCTGACCTTGAACTTACTATGTAGCTCAGGCTGGTCTTAAACTCATGACAATCCTCTTGCCTCAGCCTCCCAAGCATTGGGATCACAGGCATGTGCCAACATGCCCAGCAACAATGCCAGTTTGAGATGGCATTGGTTGAGATGATCATCTGCAGAATACCACATCAGGTAAAATCAGTTGTTATTTATTTATTTGTTTGTTTTGGCACTGGGGATCAGACTTAGGACCTTGCGCTTGCCAGGCAGGCACTTACACCACTGAGCTAAATCCCTGGCCTTGTTATTTGTTTTTAAAAGCATTTCACAACCTTTTAAAATCAGATTATATTTGTTTTGACAGTTCAATATTATTTCTACTTTTTTTCTTCTTGAAAGCCTTGAATGTATTCATCAACTTTCCCATTGCTGAGGTAAAATGCCTGACATGCACAACTTAAAAGAAGAGAGGCTTAATTTGACTCATAAATTCTATAGGTGAAAATTAAAATACCAAGTAATGTATGTACATAGATGTTTTTGATAATTAAGATTTTTTTCTTTGATAATTTTTTAAATGCAGTTGTCACAAGAAAATATTTTTAAGTTAAAATATATGTATATTGATAACATCTTGGGAAACATCTTTGTATTACAGGTAGTCTAAAGTTAAGACTTTTAAGGTGGATTTTTCACCAAAATATCAGAAGGCAGTACACTTCAAATGAGAATTTATAGTATTTACTATAAATACTATGGTGTTCACAGCAAATTTTATAGTGCTATTGACAGTACTATTCAAATAGTTACTTTATTTGAATGCCATAATATATAATGATATATATTTCTATACAAATTATACATAGAATTCATAAGTATCATTATATAATAAATCATAATTAAAACAGTGATAAATGACATCTAATTATATAGTATATAATTCTGAAATACTTATTATAGGTGCCTGACTCTATTACAAATTACATAATCTAAAATCTCATCTAACAGTGAATCTCAATCTGGAGATGGAAGCCGGGAATCTGTCTTTCTCCAGAAAACTCAGAGATGCTTAAATAAATCACCTAGTATTGACTAGAATTTGAAAACCTGTTATATCAATAATATGAAATTTTAATTACTAAGTTGAAATACCAAAAGTACGGCATTAGAGTGATTATTTCAGATTTTGTGTTTTTCTGTTGGATAATGTAGAGATTATATGAACAAAAATTTTCAGTAACAGATTTTTTTTCATGAGTGGGACTGGACGTAATGAATTCACGCTGAAATGTATCCCCATTCCCCATTTATTTGTTTTTTGACTTTTTATTTTGGGTGTCCTTAGTTACTAAATTGCCCAGGCTGGTTTTGAACTCATCATTCTGCTTATCTGCCTGCCAGAATGCTGGGATTATAGCCGTGTGCTACTGTGCCCAGCTAGAGACTTCATTTTGAAGACTATTTCAGTGATAGATGTCTTTAGTTACTTTCTCATGATGAGATGTAGTGCCTGATACCCACAAAGCTAAGAGGGGAAGATTTGTTTTAGCTCACAATTTGTAAAAGTTTTAGTCGATAGTCAAGGGGATTCAAGGCAGGGCAACACGGCAGAGGAGAAACAGTTCATGGAATGGCAACAAGAAGCAAAGATAAAGAGAGAGACAGACAGACAGATCGACGGCCCTCCTCCTCTGTGACCTACCATTGTGACTCACTTTCCTTGACCAGACTTCACCTCCCAACGTTTCATTGAGCTATAAACTCATCAATAGTGGACTGACTCACTGATGAGCATTATGCACCCATGATTCACTCACTTCCCAAAAGCCCCACTTGGGAGTGCAGGAGGCTCTGGGGGAAACCTAGATGTAAAGTATAACCATAGAATAGCCTGATACCAGAGCTACAGAGTTGCTTATGGATATTATACTGAAGTTTCCCTATAAGCCAAAGATTCTTTTATTGTTCTCTCTTAACCATATCTAAGTCATGCAGTATGCATCCAAAACAAGTTCTACTATGACATATTAAGGCTGAAACAGGAGGAACACTGAGGCCCAGAATTTTGAAGTCAGCCTGGGCATCACAGTGAGACCGCATGTCAAAAAACAAGGTGACATGGCACCCATGTTTATAGCAGCCCAATTTGTAATAGCTAAATCTTGGAAACAACCAAAATGCCCATCTACTACAGAATGGATGAAAAAGATGTGGTGTTTTTATACAGTGAAATATTTCTCAGTTATAAAAAGAATGATCTTGAAGCTTTTGTAGGTAAGTGGAGGCAACTTGAGTCTATCCTCCTAAATGAATAAATCAGACTCACATTTGTAAATATCATATTGTCTCTAGTATAAAAAATAATAATAAAAACTGGAAGAGTAATAAGATCCAAGATGTATAATAAATATTGTGATAATGGGGCTGGGGATTTAGCTCAGCGGCATAAGTGCCTGCCTTGCAAGCAGGCAGTCGTGAGTTCGATCCCTGGTACCGATAAAAATGAAAAAGACAAAAAAAAAAAAATATTGTGATAATGAATGAGAAAGAAAGTGCTCTAAGGTATATAACTGTATGTATAAGTGTGTAAGATAGATAACCATACTAAGTTTTTGTTCATCAAACAGAATGGTTTGTACTGTCATTGATTGCATACATTTTATGCTTTGATTTTGTGACTTGAGCAACTACTTCTAGGATAACTATATAATTTATCAACTAGTGATTTTTTTTTTTAAATTCTGTATTATTTCTACTCTCTTTTCTGTTTTGCTTTTTTTCTCTAAATAAAAAAACAAGGTGAGTAAACCACCCTCTTGACCAAATTTTAGGCAGCAAAAAGCACATGAACACAAAAGAGTATCATAATTAGGAAATTTTTGCTTTAAAACTTTATTCTAATTTCAAATATTTAAAGTATTTGGAGTTGGTTTTCTATCTTTGTAGAAAAGTATGAAAATATAAATTGACAGAGTACTCAAATATTGACTAGAAAATTCATTATAAATTCAGGATACATGCAACAGAATTACTTTTTTTAAATTTCAGATTCCAGAATTTACAAACAAGGACAGTTTAGATCCTTTTTTAAGGACTATAGAAAACCAAATACCAGCCAGAAGTAGCAAAGAACAAGTCATGTGCAAAAAAGAAAACATTCTATTTGCAGAGGATATAGAGTATGAAGACCAAGATCCTCCTTACACAGCAAGTTCAAAGACTGCAGAATCTCCCAGTACAATCAGTTATCCTATTACCATTGCAAAAACAGTCTCAGACACAAAGAAGTTGTCATTTGATCCTGCTACCAACACAATAAACACTTTGGACTCTCAGAATAAATTAGCCAATAATGCTAATATTGCAATGAAAACTCCACACTCTACACTAAAAGAGGGGTTACGACGTGCATCTTTACCAAGCTTCACAGGGGAAACATCAATGATAAAACCTGAAAATAAACGTCATCTGTCAAAGTCTTTAAGTTCTCCCTCCCATGTGGAAAATTTAAAACAACTAGAGGCAATCAAGTCAATTTTAAGTAAAAGTCTGCAAAACCTTTCAGACACACTACTTGGTAAATCAGAAATTCGTAAGAACACTCAGGTAATAGACAAAAGTAGTTCCGCATTTCTGAACATTCACAAGAAACCATCACATAGGTTAGAAGATGAAGTATTTAAAAGCTTACAAGATTTAGATACTTGGCTTTCAGAAAAACACATTTTAAACTCAAAGTCCCTTTTATATAATGCAATTAAAAGCATTTCTGCAGATTTACAGTCAGAAGGTAAATCAGGAAAATCTCTAGAGGTAAAAGAACATGACTCTGCAGAACATTTAGATGCTAGTGAAATCAAGATTCCAATGAAAAAGAAGAGTAGTTTCAAAAGGAAACATTTACTGTGTGAAATACCTAGCAGTAAATCAGGTGTACACAGTCATGTACACGACTGTGTTATAAAGGAAATATTCACTGCATCAATCTTCTCACAATTGGAGGCAGGGGTGAAAGAGCTGAGTAAGACACAGATGAAGCAGCAGGAGAGAAGTTTGTCTTCAAAGATTCTACTTCACTCTGGAGACGAAGATGCGGAGAAAGAACTGCCATGTCCTCATTCTGCTATAAGCCAGATAATACAAACACTTCCTGTGAATGCTGTCTTAGAATCTGGCATAAGCAAAGTGATAGAACTAGGAAAAGAACACGAGATGCAGCCCCCGCTGCATACAGCCTCTGCAGGAGAAGAGCTGCAGGATGGCACAGTGGACTCCTCAGGTATCCAGAGCAAGATAAAGCCTCCTCCAGGGCAGAAGAGACCTGTCATTCCCCAAGCAGCTACTGCTGCTGCAAGTGGAGTTGAACCTACAGAAGGCAACCAAGATGCTTTGCTACGAGATTCAAAATATCATTCCACACCACACAAAAAACCATATGGGATCAGTAAAGATCAGAGTCTCGATAGAAGAGAAAATGATCTAAATTCTACTTTAGAAAGTTTAAGGGACACATTAATGGGTACTTTTAACGAGTCTGAGGCAATAACATTAACATCCCTTTCAAAGAGCATTTTTAATGTTTTTTTCAAACCCAATCAGTCTGAAAGAAGACGGCAACCAGGAGAAGAATTAGAAACACTAATTCTGCATTCTTATCCAAGTGATACAGAATATCTTGAAAAAATCCGAGGAAACTTTAATAAAGCAGGCAGAAAACCTTTTTTGAGTCGAAAACTGCATAGATTTCTAGAAAACCTCTCAGAATCAGAAATAAAAGATTTAAAATTTGAATTAAGTAAACATATACAACATTATCTTATAGAAAAGCTTGCAGAATCAGGACATATCCCCAAGGAAGATTTACCAAAAATCTACCAAAATCTCTATTTGATGCATGAGAACACAAAATTGAAAGGGCAAAATATTTTTCAGGACAAATATTCAGAAACTGTAAAAGAAATTGTGAGTTTTATAAATAATTTAAAAATTAATTTTATAGATAAAAATTTAGGAATAAAACTAAGATCTTTTTTAAATGAAATTCTCCAAAACTATTTGCTTAAGGACTATTCAGAGAGCAGTTTACTTACTGAGACAGAATCTGCACCAACAACACATTCAACAATATCTTCCCCAAGAGCTAATAGTACCTCCAGATCTTTTTCTGAGTTAGGACAAGATATTTCAACAGAGAATTTTGACCGAAGGCTTGAAGTAAGCATGAAATATCCTTTAGACAAATCTCTACAAAATTATCTTACAACTTTAACGGAAACTGAACTATTAACTCTAAAACAGAATTTAAGCAGGCAGCTCCAGAGCATTTTTATAGAAAAACTTTTAAAATCAGGATTATTGACAAAGAAGCAATTAAAAGAGATCATCCAAAGTACAAATTTACTTAATTCCAGTTCAGGCTCATCAAAATATATAAAAACAGATTTACCTTTTAGAGGTGAAAGTGGCTTTATAGAGGAGAATTTAGAAAAGCAAAATAAATGTTTGAAAACCAGTCAAAGCACAACTGCACAAAATATCACTGAGGATGAACATATACAAACAGAATTTATCAGGAAGGAAGAAAAGGAATATTCTTCCTCACATAATTTAAAAGAAAAGACATCAACAGTTTGGCAACAGAAAAATGACTACTCTAGAGAAGGATCTAAAGCACTAAGTTTAACAAAAACACAACTTAATCCCAACACCATCCAGGCACTTCCACTAAATATATTATCAGAAAGACTTACAAATGTATTGCTTAAGAAACACAAGAAGGAATATGGTTTCAGGCAGCCTCCTCGAGCAGAAATCTCTATGTACAGAACAGAGACTCAAGACTCGTATAGAAGGGATGGTAAATCAGAAGCAATTTTATCAAAAGTTTGCTTTAAAACAACACTGAAAGCAAATCCTGTTGAGACAAGGGAGCATATTAACACTTGCACATTGACTCTTCAAAAACACCCTGAAGCAATATTGTCAAGAATTCCTTATTGTCATATGCCGAGGGACAGTGAAGATCACTTAAATAGCTCTGCTTTCCCTTTAGAACAGGCTCACACTTCAACTCATCTCAATTTTGAGACTAAGGAACAAGCAACATTTGACCAGTATATTCAGAGATTGAGAGAAAATAATAACAACAACAAAAAGCACCTAATAACATTTGGGCATTACAAAAAAGCCATACAAACTCTGTGTATGAGCCAAGATGAAATTTGTGATGAGTGTGTCCAGCTCCCTGAGTCACAATCATTCAAATATAAAGGATACGAGGAAACCTCCAATTCATTCTTCTTCTCAGAGTTGCTAAAGAGAGAAAATATCAAACCCAAGGTTCAAAAAGAGAGAAAATGTGGCAGTAAATCTAAAAAGTCATCTAACAACATTGGTAGGCTATTACCAAACACACTGCCCAGCACCGCCATCCATGTAAGGAAGCCTGCTCCAAAGACTCTGCTTCATTGGACTGCAAGAACAACCATACATGTAAGAATATTTTTTTTTGTTTTCTGTTTCTATACTTCACTAAGTTCTATAAATGATTTACCTTCATACACATATATACCTGTATGCAAGTGGATATATAGTGTTGATTGCCCCAAAATATATAGTTCTCTAAGTTTAAATATTTTTCTGAAATTCAAATAGCAATTCACAATTGCTATTTCTGATTCACAATTTAATCAGAAAATCAGGAGACTCTTAATGTTCCTCGTGCCTTTGTATGAAATAAAGTGAACACTCCTTGGAACACAAATTTTTAAAAAATATCCTTTCCCATGAGCAGACCCTCTAGACAAGACTCAAATCAGAGCCAAGTACACTCTGGAAGCTGGTCTAGTCCTCAGCTCTGGCTCACAGTGACAAGGGCCTGTACAGCCACTAGCAGTGGGCCAGGTACTGTGGAAAAAACTGAGATTTTCTTTTCCAAGAAATACAGGACTTTTTTTCAGAATGCTGAATTATTTATATTAGTAAATAAATATTGTTTCTACTATGTGCCAGTTATCTGCTAATAATTAGGAATATGCAAAATTTGTAACTACTGAATTATTAAAATTACTAAATTTAATTATAATTTTATAATTTTTATAATTAAATTTATTCTCTTCACTGTCTCTGTTACATCATATATGGCGATCTTGTAAAATAAAATCTTTTTGAAATAGTAACATAAAGTATAACATAAATTAAGTAGAATGACAAATCTGCTATTAGACTCCATAAAAACTATTCTAAGGCAAAGTTAAAATCTAGGAATAGCTTAGTTTACTGGAGCAGTGGCTCTTCTTTGTTAGTATGTATAATAGACATGACTCATACTTAGAAAAATGTGTATTAAGTTGATAATTTTATGTGTATAATTCTGCCTTTAAGTGAGAAAATAAATCTAATTTCAGAATAGTTGATTTGGATTGCTTTTCCATAGTAAAGGGAGTTATTAGCTTTATAATGGCAGGGTAAATACTATATAGCTATATATTATATAGAATAGTTGTACAGTTAAATATCTTGTTAGCTATATAGTACTAGTTAAATATCAGTACAGTTTATACTCTTAACTTTTCTATCCAAATTCAGTAATTTAGTATTTAAATAGCATGTGTGTGCATATTAGAAAAAGAAGGTAAACTCACATTTCTTAGAGAAAAAAGATTTTCTTAAGTTCCTTCAAACAAATCTTTAATGTCCCCTCTTCAAATGATGTCAAAAATAGTGTTCATGTTAAGTGGGGTAAGATCATATATGTTCTTACGATCCTTTTCCCTAAGAGTGTGCAAGGGAAACTGTTATTATCCTGTGCTAGGCCAACTGTTCCTAAACTATTCTGTCAAGTAAAATTGAGGAAGAGAATTGAACACTAAAAGGTGTTTGTCAGATAACCAGAAAGACATTTCTAAAGTCTAGTGACCTCCCAAAGGAATCAAAACGAGACAGGATTGGGGGCAGGAGGAGAGATTGAGTTGCAGGCACTGTCAGAAAAGGAACCAGTGGGTGTGGGTCTCCATGCCCTTCCATGGGAGCTCTGGCAATCAGTTATAGCCTGTGAAGCTGAGGTCACATGTCATTTGACATCATAGTAGAAACTCTTGCAATAATGGGATTTATCTTATTATTCTATGTATATAAGAGTAAAGAGGAAGACTCTTTCCCTGCCTTCTCCAAACTCAAGCAAAAGTATAAAGAAGGGCAAATTGGTCTTTAGACTTCCCGTATCTTCTTTTTTCGGAAACCTCTTTTTCATCAGTCTTGCTCAACCTTTCTGACCTAGCAGTTCCGTTAGGTCACTCCCACCTCGTCTCCAGTCAGGGCAACCTATTCCCTTGCCGTGGCTATATCTGCAAGGTATAAAGACACAACCTGCTTAAACTGCTGAGGAAAATAATTTACACTAGTGTGAAGATGATTAGTAATATTTTAGGAGTACATACAGATTATTGTATTTTTGTTGCAAAATCTAGCCATCTTACAAAAAATTTGAAAAAAGAGAAGTACTACTTTTTTTCATTAATCTAGTATATATTTTCCAATTATTTTCCTGCATGTTGTACTTGTTTTTATTCTTAGTATGTACATAAAAATATAAAATTATTTTTAGTGTAATCAGCAACCGTATTCTTGGTTGTGGTGTGCACTCTTTCTGTCTTTATGTATGCATATATACTGACAAAGATACTTATTAAATTAATTTTCAAAGAATGGAAGATCAAACTTTGGGTTGTATAAAGAGTAAAATATTAAAAGTTCATAATTTATGTTTGGGGTCAAAGACATATTTTTGTAGAGAAGAACTGCAAAGTAGGCTCCCCAACTTTGCCTAGGAGTCTGACCCCTGAGAACAAGTGTCTTTTAAGTTTTTCTGGTTTCCGGCTTCATATCTTTCCATCTGTTTTTAAATAACAGATACTTTTAAACAATAAGATTTCTTTACAGCATGATTTCTAAGACAGCTATCTAATGGGCAGCACTGGGTAGAGGGTCTGAATTTAAGAACTGTCCAAATATGCAGTACTTTTACTATCTCGAACTGTTGATATGACAACCTTTAGTCTTTATATTTAAACTGTATTTTTTAAAAACCTAACTTACCAATTTAATGTTTTATTTCACCATTTATAGGATTGCTTGGATAAGTACGAGGATTTTTATGGCACCCCACCTAAGCAATCTACAAAAACAAAATTAAAAACAAGACTTGTGAGAAAAAATTCAGAGTGTAGCCATCATCAGGGAAAACCTGCTGCAAGGCCGTACACTGCCCCGGAGCCTAACAAACAAGAGAGTTACACTGGAAAATTTCCAAATCCACGAATGGTTTCAGCAGGCTTAATTCACATAAATGATACAACTCTAGACCATACCATGTGTAACATGCGGCCTCCCAAAATTAAAAGAAAATTTTGAGAATTGTTTGCTCACTTGTGATATTAAAATATTAATGTTATGTGGGTCAGAATGATACGTGAGAACAACAGTTAGAATAACCATTAACAAAATGGTTTGAAGATGTTGTTCTTTTTTTAAAATTTTATTTAAGGAGAAAAAAAAACAGAAAAGTGTACAAGTTATACAGAATTTCAGAAAGAATAAACAGTAGGAAATCACTAGTTAATAGATTACATATTGTTATCTTAGAAATAGTTGTTCAAGTTACAAAATTAAAGCATATAAAGTGGACTTTCAAACAGTGAGACTGCAAACAGTTCTGTTCAATGATCCAACAAAACTCAGTAATATGGTTATCTATCTTACACACTTAAATATATATGCAGTTATATCCTTTAGAGCACTTTCTTTTCCTTTCTTTTGTACAATGACAATTACACATTTTGGGTTTTATTACTCCCACAGTTCTTATTACTTTTTTTTGAAGAGAGTAAAATCAAATATGACATAACAAAACAGAGTCAAATCAAAAGGATGGACATAATAGATAATGCAAAAACAAAATACAAGGTGGAAGATCTTGTTCTTGGTTAGAAGTTAGTCACCAGATTTCATCTTACAAGAACCATTTTGTTATGACTGAAATGAAAAATAAACACATTCGTTGTAAACATGTTTTTATTTGTAAATCTTAGGGTCTGAATTTGTAAATCTTAGGGTCAGAAAGACATATTCAGTTGATATTCATTAGCAAAGTTTCCACATTCCAGCTTGTTTTCTTAGAAGGATGAACTAGGATAAAATCCCCTTTGACTCGCCATCCTCCGTTACACTCTATCTATTGTGCACCCAGTTCTCAGGTTCTGTATTTGCAGTTATTTGTGTTTAGCCTCTTGTTATGGATAAGTTTTGCTCTCTAGCACTCATTATGTTTCTAGATCCAACAGTCTGCAGTTCTCTGTACCTACAGAATTTCTGTTAATTTTATATTGATACTGCATTTTTGTTTACCATGAATAAGGATAATTAAGATTTAATATTAAATCCTGAGGCATTACCTATCCTGAATTACTTAAACAACTAACACTTAAAAAACTGTGAAAGTATGTTTTAAACAGCACCAAACTCAGGAAACTAAATAAAACTTCAGAAAGTCATATATTCTATCTAGTTCAATTAAGTTAGGGTTCAAGTTAAGAGATTTTTGAGAATTGGTTCTATTTTTATAAAGCACAGTATTTATTGAACACTGGTTCATTCTTAAAGAATAAAAACTTCAATTTAGAGAATTTTTGTCAGCTCCACAAAGTCCACAAAGATTACAGATTTTAAATAGAATTGGGTAATGGAAAACATAGTTCCTAGCCACTCATGCAATGTTATAATCAGGGTAGTCACTTTTTACAGGTACCAAGAATTTCCAGTAGTCCTCAGACTTGTCAGTACAGATGGTTTGTTTGACTTGGAATTTATTGACTTTACAATGATATAAATGATATTTATTCAGTAGACACTACACATAGCATTTTGATGTTTAGGATTGTCGATATGTAATACTCTTTCATGATGGTTAAAATGGTTAGAGAAAAACAAGGAACCACTCATAAAGATAAACTCATTAGAATTATGGCATACTTCTCAAAACAAAACTTAAAAACCAGGAGAGTGTACAACACTTCTTATTCCAAGAAAACAATTTCCAACCCAGGCTGATACATCTTGCAAAACTATTTTTCATAATTCTTGGAGAAATAATATACTTTTATGACAAAGAGCACCTGAATAAATTCATCATCACCAAACTAGCATGCCAAAAAATTCTGAAAGATGCCCTGGAAAGAGACAATGAAGCTAACAGTAACAAAAGATCTAATAGAATAAATATAGTAAGTAAGGTGGCCAGTTAAGTAGAGGGAAAGACAAGAAATCAGCAACAGGAAAATAAGGCAATAACAAGAGTTAATAACTGTCCATAATAACACTCAATACAAACAACCTAAATTCCACAATTAAAAACAGATTGGAAGAATGAATCAAGAAACAAACTTCAACGAGGCATGTAGTACACACCTTTAATCCTAGCACACAGGAGGTTGAGGCAAGAGGATTGCCACGAGTTTGACTTACATAGATGAACACCATATTATCTCCTAATGTAAAAAAACTGAAGATGTTAGTGGGATCCAAGATGTATAATAGACACAATGAAAGTGACAGGAAAGGAAAGATCTAAAAAATGAAGGTGCTAACCATTACTAATTTCTTTTTTTTTTTTTTGTCTTTTTCTTTTTTATCAGTACCAGGGATTGAACTCACAACCGCCTGCTTGCAAGGCAGGTGCTTATGCCGCTGAGCTAAATCCCCAGCCCCACCATTACTAATTTCCTAATATCTTGTTTTGAATTTCTGTGTTGTTTTCATAGTTTTACTATGTTTGGTTTTATTCTGTCTTGTTGTGTTTGATTTTCTGTGTCTGATAGTAGCTATTTTGAAGATAACAGAATGCATCATGGTAGTCATTTTTGATTTCCTATTATCTTGTTTTGAAGTCCTATAATACTTTCATTCTTTTGTTTTGACTGGTTTTGTTCCATCTTTTTGATATTATGATGGTATGGACAGATGTTTTGAAGAAAACAAGAGACATTACGGTACCCATTCTTGATTTCCTATTTTGTTTGGAGTCCTGTATCACTTTTATTGTTCTGTTATGAATAGCTTTATTCTGTCTTGTCTTGCTTGGCTTTATTCTCTTTGATTTTTTTTTTTTTGGTACTGAGGATCAAACTCATGACCTTACACTCATCAGAGAGGTGCTTACACCACTGAGCCAAATCCCCAGGACCTGGTTTTATTCTCTTTAAAATAAGATAAATTTAAAACTTGAAAAAAAGATGTTAGAAAAAAAGAAACATCATCTATAAAGGAAAACCCATCAGAATCATGACAGACTTCCCAACACACCATCAAGTCGAGAAGAGACTGGAGTAAAGTATTTCAAGTCCTTAAAGAAAACAACTTCCAACCAAATTGATGTACCGTGCAAAACTATACTTCCATGACAAAAAAACAAGTGAAAGACTTCATGATCACCAAACCAAACCTACAAAGAATACTGAAGGACATTCTAGAGAGAGAGAAAAATGACCAAGTTTCCAAGAACAGCAGCAAAGGGGAATCACTGAGCAGGGCAGACGGTTGAATAGAGGGAAAAAGTAGGCAGCTAGTGGCAGGAAAATAGCATGGCAGAGACAAGGCAGAACATGTTGGCCATACCCATTAATATAGATGACCTCAATTCACCAATAAAAAAGAAACAGGCAGAGTAGATGAGGAGACAGGATCCATCAATATGCTTTATTCAAGAAACGCATTAAACTCAAAAGGGGATTCATAGAATGAAAGTCAAAGGAGAGAAAACAACGCTCCATGTGCCAGGGAACCAGAAGAAAATGGTAGCTTGTTTGTTGACTGCAGAATTGGTGATCTGGCCCGCAGATCAATCCATGGGGTGTACCTGGAGGGGGAATGGGGATTAAATAAAGACATGGGGGAGACAGAGACTGAGGCAAGTTGAGGGAATCCAATCAAGCCCCGTTTATTCCGGAAGTGATTATATCTTTTATAGGGAAAGGGCGGGCTGATGGGACAGGAAGAGGCTATGGGGATGAATACAACAGGGTCATCGTCACTGTAAGGCTGTGCAGCTCGGAGGGCCTTGTGCGACCATCTCCTCAATCTTAGGATCTGCATGCCACTGGGCAAGCAGCTCAGAGATTAAATTCCAATATGCAAAGGTGGTCACCGGAACCTTTTCTGGACCAAAAACCCTATAATAATCTTTTAAAGCATCTCTTACTCTTTTCCACCTCTTGGTATCTATAGAACCCTCTAGGGCAAACCTTATGGATAAATTGAAAATACTGCAATAATTCTTTTCTTCTAACCCTTACCCCTCTTGTCTTTAATGCCTTTATAAGACCTCCCACGAACAATTCATGTTCGCTCAATGCTTGACCCTTGTCCGGGAAAGGGAATGGGGTCACCATTCACCCACCATGACTCGGGAGGCATGTTGGGTAGTCATCCGCACAGGCTGTGGTACTTGATTTAATGTCCTGTTGCTTTTAGCTTTGATCCTTGATTTAGTTTGCTCAGTTCAATTTGCTTTCAGTTTCAGCCAGCTGTCTCGAACGGCTCCCTCATTGACTCCTTCATGCCAGGAGCCCCCACGCTGGGCGCCACTTGATCCGGCCAGCGGATCAATCCATGGGGTATACCTCGATGGGCAACGGGGATTAAATAAAGACATGGGGGAGACATAGAGAGACTGATACAAGTTGAGAGAGTCCAATCAAGCCCCATTTATTCAGAAGTGATTACATCTTTTGTAGGGAAAGGGCGGGCTGGTGGGACAGGAAGAGGATATGGGGATGAATACAACAGGGTCATCGTCACATCCGGGTATGTGACGTAAGCAGGAGAGGATTATGGTTAATGTAGGCAGATGCATTGTGCCCATAGGAGAGAGAGAGGCAGGGAGGCAGCAATGGGGCTGTCGCGCGGCTCCCTACAAATTGGTAAGAAAGATACAGCATTTTTATACAATGGAAAGCTACTTGGCTATAAAGAAAGGTAACCTTGAGGCTCTTGTAGGTAAATGGACACAACTTGAGGTCATGCTCATGGGTGAAAATGTTCAGAATCACATGAATAAACATCATGTTGTCTCCCTAGTATAAAAAAACTAAAGGAGCTAGTGGGGTCCAAAATGCCCAATAGGTATTGTGAAAGTGAAAGAAGCAGAAATGTCTAAAAAGGAAAGGCAGTGGCCATTGTCAAACTATTATCGTGTTTTGAAACCTTGTTTTTATTCTGTTTAGTTTGGTTTTATTCTATTTTGTTTTGTTTGATTTTATTATATTTGATGGCTTGGGCAGCTATTTCAAAGATAGCACAATATATTATTGATTTTCTCTTATCTTATTTCAAAGCCCTATATTGCTTTCATTGTTTTGTTTCGATTGACTTTATTCTATTTTGTTTTGCTTGATTTATTATGTCTGATGATACAGGCAGCTACTTTGATGATAACAAGAGGCATTATGGCAGCCATTATTATTTTCCTATTTTCTGGTTTTGAAGTCCTGCATTGCTTTTACTGTTTTGTTTTGATTGGTTTATTCTGCTCTGTTTTGTTTGATTTCATTATGTCTGATGGTATGGGTAGTTATTTTGAAGATAACAAAAGACTATGGTAGCAATTGTTGATTTCCTTTTATCTTGTTTTGATGCCCTGTTTTATGTTCATTGTTTTGTTCTGATTGGCTCTATTCTATTTCATTTGATTTTATTTTCTTCAAAATAAAAATTTTTTTGTAAAAATTAGGGGACCAAGGATATAGCTCAATAATACAAGCACCTACCTGACAAGCATGAGGTCATGAGTTCAATTCTTGGTACAAAAAAACAAGAAAGAAAGAATAAAAGATAAAAAAATCAATATATGCTCATAAGGGTTCAGGGGAAAAGGAACCCTTCTATACTGTTGGTGGTACTTTGTATAGCTACTAGTGGAATCAGTATGGATATAAATCTATCATTTGATCCAGTATGAAAATTTCTCAAAAAAACTAAATATAAACCTATCATTTGATCCAGCTATACCATTCCTCAGTATATTTACAAAAAAATTAAAGTCAGCATACCACAATATTTACCTGTGTACTCCTAAGGCAGCACAATTCACAACAACAAATGGGAACCAACCTAGATGCCCATCAATGGATGAATGCAGAAAAAATATGGAGTATATGCACATTATAGAGTATTATGAGCTGTGAAGAACAAAATTATGCTTTTGCAGGAAAATAGAACTAGAGATTATCACGTTAAAGTAAAATAAGCCAGACTCAGAAACACAAGTATTGCATGTTTGCCCTAATATGTGGAATCTAAAAAGCAAAACAAAGATGACATGAAAGTAAAAGAGAGACTATTATTAGGCAAAAAAGGAACTGGGAGAAGGTACAGGATGTAAGGGAGTATGATACAGACATAGATGTGATCAACAGGTGTGTGCATGTATGAAATGCCACAGTGAAACCCAATATTTTATAAAATCAATACATTTAATTTAATTAAAAATTTAAAAGTAAATTTAAAAATAGTAGGGCCATGAATCAAGGTAAGAGTAAACATCTCTTGGTGAAGGTGAGATATGCTACCAGGGTCAGGAGCATGCTGACTCTGGGCAGAGTGAGGATTAGGGTTAATGTTATGGGTAGAGAAGGGTCAGTGAATGTCAGTTTCAGGGTAAAGGTAAGATGGGATTCAGGCTGAGGTCAGGATCAGATTCAGGATAAACATTAGGGTCTAGTTCAGTATCAGGATCAGTGAGAGGCTAGAATGACGACAATGTCTGTGAAATTCAGGGTCAGATATCATCATGATCAAGGTTAAGGTCAGGCGAGACAGGATGTTAAAAGCTGAAGTTGAAGTTAAAGGTGAGGGTCAGTCCTAGGGTCAGAATGAATGTCTGGATGAGACTAAGACAGTGTTATGGTTGTAATGTTTACCTATTGCCAACAATCGCATTTCTAATATTTACTTGGGCACTACTGTGACAACAAAAGAAACATTATTCTTTTTGCTAATTCTGGTTAAGTTTTCTTCAGGAGTAGTAGTGGATTTGGGGTCTTTACTGCTTTGGTACTTTTATTATGGACCACCAGGTCTTAATGGTTCGTGTCTTCTCTGAAAAATAAAAATATTCCCAATGTTACTTCTACTAGGTAGACTTATGACTGGACACATAGGTGATTGGAATGTAAGAACATGCAGTACCATTAAATAGTTTTCCGGTTCTAAAAAAATTTTTTTTGCATTGTCTCAATTTCAAAACCACATGTTGAATTTCCTACCCCACTATAAGAATGCTTTCTACCACATCCTGATTGGCCATTTCCTTTGAACACACAAGAAATGATTAAATAGTTCCCAAGGTTGAATAGTCATAAATTTATGCAAGGATTGCCTTTGTGAGTAAGTTTAAAGTGACTTCATTTTTCAGCCATGCTGCTCACGGCAACAATGTAAATGTAACTTTTTTATATTGTTCCTCCATCATTCTCTTCCACCCATGTATGCTAATCCAGGTCTTTTTGCGGAGATGGGATTGTAGTCCCCACTGACAAAGATTTCCTGGAAAGAATGACAGGAAAGCCTCAGCAACATCTGTGATGAGCTCACAGCCAGTTCTGTGGGAAGCCACTACTCTTTGGTGAGTCGGAGGCCTCTTCAGACCTCCAAGGTTGGAAGCACGGCTGGAGACACTGAGCTGGTTCCCTCTTTACCCTAAACAAGAATGCAAAACAAAAAGGGATAGGGTTCAGATGGGAAGAGAAAGCCTGCTGATGACAGGAAGTAAGGAACAATCCCTTCCAGACCCAGTTTTCCCACAGAACAAGGGACACAGAAAGCCACTGCAGGTGGCAGGTCCTGGCACGCACCTTGCACCACATCTGCCTGACTTAGCCTCCTCATCTATCCCTGCTTCCTGTGAACTCTCCTTGTGTGGGCTGCAGCCTCTCAGACACATAGTCCTGCAGACAAGTTTTAAAAATGAAAAAGGCTGGGTATGTTGTTCAGTGTGGAGCTGTCCTGGCTCCATTCCCAGTGATAGGAGGGGAAGGGATTCATTTTATTTTTTTCAGAGTTTATGAGCCTGGCTCAGCCCTGGTTCTGCCCCATAGCCCTAAAGCAAGCCCTGAAGTAAACCTGAGAGAAAGGTTGGGGCAGCTGGGAAGTCTGGTGAGGGATCTGGGGCTGAGGATGGAGAAGCCAAAGATAAGAAGCCTCAGGTCTGAAGTATAAGGGACACGCTGACAGGCTCCCAAGATCTACTACGAGTCAGAATTACTGTGCTACTCTGGATGTTAGAGTCAGAAGATCCTGGAGCATTGTTCAACCAAAGCTGAGGGACTATCAAGACAGTGGATCTGGTGCAGAATGAACAAAGAGATAGGCAGCAAGTTTCTGCTAGGCAAATACATGACAGAGAGTGTCTGGAGGGCTTCTGTCTCCTTTTTGTATCACCCTCCTTGACCCAGAACTTTCTCTTCAGGCTCTGCTTGCCTGGCCCATCCTTCAGATTATGTTAGCAGACCCAGGACGTACTAAAATTGCTCACCTCTGTTGTTGAAGTCCCAAGATCATATCTAAGAAGCAGAGTTGAACAAACAGGGAAAGCTGCCTTCTTAAGCCAGGAAGAAACAATAAAGAAGCAGAAAGTTCAGTCAAACCAGCATTTATTGGGATATCAAGGTATAGTAATAGCGTGAAGGACCATCTCCCAAGGACAAGGAGAGCACAGAGCAGGACCGAAGGGCTTTTACACAGGAAAGCCCAGGTCACTGGGTTAGCTGGAAGGCACTGCACGATTTGACTCCTCCAGGGACTTCAGGAAGGCTCTGTATCTGGCCAGGAAAGGGTTGGCCAAAGTCCTCAGCTCTTGCTGAAGTTCTTGCAGAGCTCGGTCTTGCTCTTGCTTCTCCCCTGTCACGCGCTGCCTGTAATAGTTGATGTACATGTTCACCCAGTCATTCACGATAACCACCAAGTCTTCTTCTGCAATAAGAGGATGGTCAAAGACCTGGGAGACAAGGGAGATAGAATGAGCTTCAAAACTATCACAATAGTCTCGCAACTCTCACAACTTCTTTTTTCTAACTTGTATTCCCTGTGCTTGGTTGTTTCTGTCCACTCCATCATTTCCCTCACAACTTCCAATTATTCTCCCTTCTCTGTCCTCACCTCAACACACGCTCTCCAGGTCTGTCCCTCGAAATCCAGCATGTAGCTCTTACCTGCTGATTCAGTAGAATATTGAATTCCTTCATCCCCACAGAAATGAGATCCTTATTGGCCTGAAGAAGCGCCATCTGCCTACCGGAAAAAAGATAGAATTTAAGCAGCCTTTTCCCTCACTGCTGGGTGTTTCCTGCAATCCTTGCACTCCCCCTGAAGACCCCTCACCCCCTACAGAGTCACCTCTTCTCCAAAACTCTTCAAACCCTGCTCCACTCTGAGCTCACATTACTTCCAAGCAGGTCTCACCTGGAGATCCAACAGCGCAGTTTGTCTCACCCACACACTTCAGGGTATGTCGCTACTTTGTGTTAAACTGGGTACAGGCAAGGACTCAAATGTCAGTTTGCGAAGAAAACGCCCTACAGCTAACTAGGTCCTGAGGGAGGATGATAGGTCAGTTTGGGTGGGTAACAGGGTGAGGCTCCCTAGGAATAAGATAAGGAGGCTAAGAAAGACAGATAAGTAAAGAGGTCCAGAGAATGTAAGAACCAAACCCAAAACATATGCTCGCCTTCTGTCCTACACCCCAATGGCCCAGTTCCAAAGGCTAAGGAAACTAAGGCTGAGCTGATACAAACACATGTGGCAGGCATGTTAGCATCCTTGCCACAATGGGAGGGGAATTACCATCCTGATCTGAAGATAGTACAGTAATAGCAGCTTCCATTGCATCTAATCCTTCGTGCCCAGCATGCATTTCATGTTTCAAGCATGCATTCATCATTGCATATTTTTAAAATACTTAGATATATTATACTGATGAACCATCTTTAAAATGTAGGGAGTGGACACCGCCAGCATGCGATCCACAAGAAAGGAGATACATCATTCACCACATCACCAAGTAATCAAGAAAGCAGAGATACTTTTTCTTCTTTTTAAATAGTTTTCTTAATGTCTGTTTTCAACAAATTTGAATCCTTTTTGCCCCAGGATTAAATATAACCAGCACTGACTCTGTGCATACTTGCTCAAGGTGTCTCACAGGTATGGCCAAGGACAGAACCTACAATCAAAGGAAGGTCTTCCCGGGGAATTCACTTGCAAAGGTTGGCCTCAGACCTCAGCACATTCACAGAAGCTCACGTTAAAGTTGCAGAACAATGTTTGTAACCCTTCGATGTTTTGATCTACCAGGACACTTACAATTTTTTTAAACATATATTCAGGTTTATCACAGTCTCTGGGAGACTCTTTGGGGGTGTCAGATAAGGTGAGGTGGGGTAGAAGGGCGTTCCAGGCTGAAGTACAGAGGAAAGTAATGGTTTGGGAGAAACAAAAGTTCCAAGTAGCAAGTCATAAGCTAGGGTCAAATGAAGTGGAGGGTATGGGGCAGTAACCATGATAGTTTTATTATGGGAAAGGAAAGAGAAAGGATGTTTTTCACAAATTTCTGCTTTGGTTTCATCACACTGCACTAGATAGAGGGAGTAGGTGAGAAGAGGAGCTAGGTTGTGAGGGAGAGAAATACTGTCTTAAGATCCTCCCCCCAATTCCATGGACTCTCTCCCCAAATAAACACAAGAAACTTTCTCCCTCTCTTCCTCCTTTCTCCTATTCCTCCTTGTCCTCCTTCTTATCCTTTCTCTCTGTCTCACTCTTTCCATCTCCATACTGGAAATTTGCACTCAGGTCCTTGGCACTAAGCTGTATCTCCATCACTATTTTATTTTTTTCTATCTTACTCTAATACTGGGGATTGAACCAAGGGTCTTAAAATGTTACTTTCGTTCTCATTTTTGTTATTGATGGGCTGTTGGCCATGGCAACCTGGAGTGCTGAAAGACTGGTTAACTGGTTTAAGAATAAATGACCCTGAAGTTTTGGCTGACTATGCAGTCCAGCTGCGCACACTGTCTGACCCTAAGATTTCATTATGATGTGTAGGGACATTTTTAGTCTGAGAATTAGTGGATGATTATAAATGTATTATTACACAGAAGTCTTTTTGTCTTACTATAATTGGCAAAGCTCCTTTCACTCCCCTTTGTCCCCCAGGCCTGCTAATGTCTATTTGTCTAACACCCTCAAGCATTAACAACTTCTCTGACACCATCTCACAGAACCAGCCCTAAATAATCAACTACAGCAGAGGCTGGACCAGTGTTACAGGCAGTTGAGTTAGTTAGAAATATTATGGGCACTCAGACAGGACTGGGCCCTCAAAGGAATCAGAGAAGTTCAGATACCTTGCAGCCTTGGAAGAGACAATCACTTCTTGCGGTGGGCCAGATCTCAACACAAAAGGCAAAGCAAATACAACCACATCCTAAGGATCCACATAGTTTGCTATGACCCTGAGGAAGTCAAGAGTTACCATCTCAGTCTCCAGCAGGAAGAGTCACTGCTGTTAAGCATGCCCGCTTACTAAGTGACTCACTCCCCCATTTACCGGAGCAATTAATCTTATTGTTTGACCACAGTTGTATCCCGCCTTATGCTCACCTTGCAAATTCCCATTTTTCCCTACCTTCAACCCATCTCACCTCATGATTTTACTATATGAAATTCCCTTAAAAAGACAGAGTCTTTGGCAACCCACATAGGACCCCTTCTGTCTCTTAGACAGAAGCTTTCTTTCTCTCAATAAATATATTGTGCTCTTAACCTCCATTACCCCTAAAATTCATTCTTCGATTTCAGAGAACAGGAACTCATAACCAGACATACATAGGTCACGAATTTCATTCCTCTATATCACCAGGACTACCTATCCTGCCATTTCTGCAACCCTCAACTCCCGCTCCCACCTCCACCCCACCACTCCATCACCCCCACAGCTATGCAACCTCCCGACCCTTGCCCTTGTTCCCCTTTTCTATGACACTTCAAAAAAGTTTTTGTCAGACCCTGAAAGTCAGGTCTTGCACCTCTATCTGCTCTCTGCATGGCCATGCAAGCCCTTTTTCATGACCTTCACTGAGATTGTTGTTTGGAAGCCAGTGGCTAACCTGGTCTGTTGGGACCCCCAAGGCTGGGCTTTTAACTTTCAACTTAAAACTCTGTGAACAGTCAAGCATTCATTCATAAATATGTTAGAGCATCTGCTATAAGTTAAATACTACTAAAGGAAAAATAAAGAGTAACAATATTGTCCCTGGCCTCCCAGAAAAGAAGGCATTTGAGGCCCATAAAAGGCCACAGGCTTGTTCAAAGTCAAAAATTGAGGCGTTAAAGGGGATGTTCAATATAACTATTTCCCCAAAGGTGCCTTTTTTCCTTCTCCCGTTACTCAAAGTTGTAAAACACAAGGATTTCAGTCTTGGTCTTGTTAATTCAAAGGGCCCTCATTGTTTCTGCAGCCTAGCTGCAAAGAAAAAAATGCTGGACCATTCCAGCTGTGTTTGAGGCAGAGCCGGGAGGTCAAAGGGCAGTCTGGTTTGCCAGCTATTCAAAGGAAGATTGCCCCTCCGCAGCCGCCATAGCCAAGCCGGAAGTGTAACTTGTTGCGTTTCTTTTTTAGCAATACTGGAGCAAACAGATCTAGGATGGCTGACGCGGCAAGTGGAGAGACCACTCTGTGCTCCGAGCGGTTCGGCTCCGGAACAGCACGAAGCTGCTGTGCCGCAGCTGACGGAAGCCTGCAGTGGGAGGGCGGGGATTGGCCGTGGTGGAGGATCTTCCAGGCTTTCACTCCGAAACCTGAGGGGCAAGAGGGGCGCAGAGAGGGGTCTCCCATGGCTGCGTCGCCGCCTGTCTCAGGCCTCAAGGCCGTATTACTGCCTCAAGGCTTTCCTGATAGCGTTAGCCCGGACTATCTGCCTTACCAGCTGTGGGATTCTGTGCAGGTTAGCCTGGCAGGCGGGGGCGGGGGAGGAGGCGGGGGCGGGTATTGTTCGGATTCAGGGGACGTTGCAAACCACTTTTCCCTCTGCGCTATGGGCCGGGAGACTGAGGCCCAGAGCGATTCATGGCTTGTCCAAGTCACACACTAGGGATAGCCGGTAGTAGAATTTAGACCTCGAAGCTCCTCGACACACACCCCACCCCCTCCTTTTTTTTTTTTTTTTTTTTTTTCCTCCAGGCCTTTGCTTCCAGCCTCTCCAGCGCCCTGGCCACCCACGCAGTCATGCTGGGCTTGGGGGTGGGGAACGCAGAAGCCTCCCTTGCAGCGGCCACTACCACCTGGCTTGTGAGAGGTGAGCTGGACCCTTGGCGTGCCACCTGTTGTGTTCAGTCCTGCCCTCTCCCTGATCTCTCCGTCCTCCGACCATGCAAAAGCCCAGCGTCTCATCCCACCCCACAGCCAGTGTTTCTCGCCATGATATGTGCATATTTGTGGACCCCTGCGTGATTAGGTAACATGCAGGAGCCAGGTCTCCTTAGTGCGCAGGTTTTTGTGTGCTGTCTTATTACCCACAGCTGGAATATCGTCATCCCTTGCACCAGCTCAGCAGCTGACTTGTTGCCCTTATACATCATGTGGATCCCATGGCCAGTCGAGGTGGCACATGCCTGTAATTTCAACACTCCGAAGCTCAGGCAGGAGGATTGCTGTGAGTTCAACGCCATCCTGAACTACATAGAAAGATGCTGTCTCAAAAATAAATAATTTGGATCCCAAATCCATAAATTAAGGGGCCTTTCCCCTTTATCTCTATTAAAAACACAATTTATTTAATAAAACTGCCAGCTGCGCAGAATGATGGAAATTGGTTACTTCCAAAAGGGAATTGGTTCTAAATAGACGAGAGAAGGCATTGGAAAGAATGAAAGGTATTTTGAATCCTCTGGGATATTAGATGTGCTGTAAGTAATAATTATACTGATCGTCTGTTGCTGAATGACTTCAGGACCAGATAGGAGACCGGTGGCTTTTGGAAAGTAAGGGGAAAAAAATAAAATTTGGTAACATGCCACCTAATGAGTGAAGTGGAAGAAAAAAACGAGAACCAGGTTCCAGCGTGTTCCACTGTCCTTTTCACTCCTAATTCCCATGGGTATTTAAATCAGATGGAAGGGGAAGCTAATTCCCATGTATCTTCCTGTCCATATCTCTGTGAGGCTCCCTGAATCTTTTGAAAACCAGGAGGCTTCTGCCTTTGCTCTCACAGACTGAGCAAGCTGTCCAGATATGAGTCACATGTTTGAAAAGACTTTCTCTGACAGTGCATATTAGTGGAGAAGCAGTGGTGATCTGTGGCTTGTCCTGATTGTCTTTTTTTTTCCCCCCCGGTACCAGGGATCGAACTCAAAACTTTGCAAGGCAGGCGCTTACGCCGCTGAGCAAAATCCCCAGCCCCGTTTGTCTAATAATAGTAACTATAATCATTCAGGCTGACAATGCTTATTATTGTCAGTCTTTCTGCGAACAGATTTGATCTTTGTGGCAGCTGAAGATAGTTCTTGCCATATCCCATTTTATAAAAGGAAACTAAGGCAATAGTAATTTTCCCAAGGTTATACATGCATTAAATGGCAGGGCCTGGATTTGAGCCCATTTGATTTATCACCACAGTCTATTTCCATGTACAATGTGCTGAACTTAGGTATTTTCTATTGCTGTCCTGATGGCCTTTTTTGGAATGCAGGTGGGTCAGTAAGTTGATGTTTTTGTGTCATTTTTAGTACCCAATCTTCATCCTGAGCATGCTCTTTGCTTAGATATGTTATTAAGAAAGAAAATAAGGCCATTTTAAGATATGGAAAAATACCCACTTTGTTCATTGGAAAGAATTTTATAAGCTTGATTCTATCAAATGTGGGGAATTTATATGCAGACCTTCATCGGAGAAACTCCCTTGGAATTTTATGATGTTATCATTTTCAGTTATAGACCTCTAATGAAATTATGTCTATTGTCGTAACTAACAATACAGCAGTACTTATCTTAACAGCCTCTGTATCTTAATCTCTGCAGCAGCCAGCTCATTTAGTAGATGAAAAAACTAAGGCATAGATAGGCTGAGTCACTTGGCTAAGGGCACTTAAACATCCAGAACTTAGATCCAAGCCAACTTACTCTGTGTCCACTTTTTTACCAATTAAGGTTTTAGAGTGAAGCCAATTACAAATTGTAAACAGCTCATTACCTAGTATATCTTACAGCTCTACCAATTTTGAGCCAAAAAAGAACAGATAAAAAGATAAGTTTAGTATTTTAGGGGACAGTATTGTCTTTCAGGTAGTAGGGAGAGCATCATACTGCCGACCTCCAGGTTTGTGCAGGATCCCTGCATACTGCTGCTAGTGACCCACAGAAAGGTAGAATAGAGCTTCATTTTGTCAAGGGTCCAGGGAAGATACCTACTTGATGGGATATGAGTGTGCAGTCAAAGAGGAATAAATAGAGTCTGATCCAGTAGGCCTTCTGTCAAGCAGTAAAAATAATCTTGCCATGTTCAGAGTCACTACATCAATTCAGTATAAGAGTCTTAACTGGAAGGGTGAACATTTTATTTAGAACATCATATACTTGAAGGGAGGAAGTTAAGGTGAGAGAAAGGAGGAGGAGCATCACATCAGTAGATGTGACTTCAGGACCAGATAGGAGACCTGTGGCTACATTGTTCTCTTTGAGTACACAGAGAGGAACTGCATGTCTATCCAGAACTTAGCATACCGGACAGCTGCCAAAGCCACAGTGACCTCTTAGTACCGGAGTACACGAGGCTGCTCAGCTCCTGAGTCTTCCTTGTTCTTTATCAGTACCTTCTTCTCCCCCAGATTCAACTGGCATGCTGGGCCGCATCGTCTTTGCCTGGTGGAAAGGGTGAGTTTCTTTTCCCAGTCAGAGGACTTCTGGCAGTCATCCCCAGTGTGGGGGTAGTGTAGTGACTGTGTCAGCCTTTAACTGTGACTCTGAAGGTCAGTGAGATAGACTGCACAGTACCTATCACATAGCACATGAGAGGTGCTCATTAAACTAGCCCCAGCTGCGCCCCACCAGCACACTGTGCTGGGTTGTCTCTACAACATATTTGTGAATTGTGACTGAATGTGCAAATTTTAATGATGCCAAACACATCTAGAAGAGGTTAACTTACTTCCTAGGCCAAACAGCCTGTAATTAGCAAGATGGAATTTGACCCTAAAGCCTGTACTCTGTGTCAGGCTGGTTTTTTGGGTAGAATCCTAGACCAAGCCCATTGTTCAGGAGCTCACCTGTGTGTGCCACCCAGGGACGCTACCTTTCCCTCCAGGAGATTTCACATTAAGGCTCAGCTGGTGCTGCTAATGTTGAGCTGGGCTGGGAGCTACAGCATCCCCTGACAGTGGAGTGAAAGAAATGGTCTCCAAGTGTAAGTGCACGAGCCAGGGAGACACTGCCTGACACAGAGATGGTAAAGAGGTCGATGTCCGCAGCGTTACTTTACAGACGTAGCCTAGGCCTGAGTGTCAGGGCCCAGCCCTTTGTGTTGGCCTTTCCTCTCCCTCTCCTCTCCATGTGATCCAAAGGAATCGGGGCCAGTTACCTGTAACATGCAGCATTGCGATAAATTTAGGATTTACCAGACCAGAACACTTTACTGCATATGAACTTTTTGCTGGGTGCCCTCAGTAAAGCAAGAAGAACATGAGGACAGAGGTCTGCCTGGAAGTGTATCTCCCTGAGCCTTTCAGACCTTACCAAGGCTGGGACTGCCCACCCTGCCTGCAGCATGTGTTTTTTCCTTCACCCACATGACAACACCCTTTTGTCTCCAACAGGAGCAAACTGGACTGTAATGTGAAGCAGTGGCGGTAAGGAGGGCCTGGGTTAGAGATGAGGGAAGAGCCCTGTATTTTGAACATGATTTATTGATGATCTTTGACCTCTGGTTCTTTCCCAGACTTTTTGCGGATATCCTCAATGATGCAGCCATGTTCCTCGAGATTGCGGCTCCCACACTCCCGTTCTGTTTCACTGTGACTGTCAGCACTAGCAACTTGGCCAAGGTACCTGCCTCTGGGGCACTTCCACACCCAAATACCTGCCTCAGTGATGCTGTGTGTGAGCCCCGCTGGGCCCTGTACTATCCATGGCACCTCTAAAAAAATTCGAATCTTCAGATGATTCTACTGAGACCCAACCAGGTTTTCTGATCTTCTAGCCAGATGATCCTTGGTGCCTCAGGCAGCTGGTCCAAAGCAGGTTTAGGAACCACCGTATTGAGTGCCTACTGCACATTTGGCACATAACACAGGTCCTTCCATCTTTGAAAGGAAACCCTGCATGATTATACAAATATCGATGGAATGGTAGCCATAAGTACTCCAGATGAAAAATGGCCAGGGCATGCAGGAAGGCCCCCCTGAGGCTGGGTCCTGAAGGACGAGTTCAGGCGCCGGGTGGGTGTTCTGGGAGGAAGAAACAATGAAGATCAATGCCCGTAGATGAGAAAACTGTCAGTGCGGTGAGAAGGGGCAGCCAGATGAAGGCAAGCTCTTCTGTGCCAGGTGCCGTCTGACAGTTCCTTCAGGTACCTTCATCACATGGAGGCCTGAGAAGGTTCAAGGAAAAACCTAGCCATGTGGCTAGCCGTAGCCTAGCCATCCTCACCATAGTGTCAGGTACCTGGCACAGAGTGAAGCTGCAGGCGTTTATACCAGACCCATCTCAAAGGCCCGTTCTTTAAAACCGCTGGAGAGCAGCATTTCTCTGTGAGCTCTGTGGGTGTCTGGGTGCCACTGTTCCCTGTGGTGAGGGACTAAATATGGGGAGCACCTCTTCCTCAAGTCCCAGCCTTGTCTTCAGGGCAGGAAACCCTGGAGAAGACCACCACTCTAGCTGTGGACCAAAGATTGTGATTTCTGGCGTGTGTTCAGATTCTGCCCTAAACTTTGCCTTTGGGCCTTCAGTCTCTTCTGTCAAGTGAAGGGGTAAAACAGGGCCATGAATTTCCTCCTATAGCCCCTCTCTAGGGTTCCAGGCTCAGTGCCAGCACTCCTTCCCCAGCTACACCAGCCGGAAGTCTGGCTGTCACCCGCATCTCCTCCCCATCACCTTCGTGTTGAGCCAGACCCTTCACTCCATTCTGCTGTTTCTCCTCCGTAACGTTCATCTCCCCATTACCACCACTGCTGAAGAAGAACAGTTGGTTCCTTGGATTCTCTGCACTCCAGTCCTCAGTCCTCCTGTGAGCAGTCCAATAATCCTTTTAACAATGAAAATCAAATTAGGTCCCTTCTACCCCAGCCGGACCCTAACAAGACTCACACCACTTCTTACAGTCAGGTCTGGGCCAGTCTGCAGCCTCCTTCTGCACCACTTGTCTCTGAACTTAGCAGACTGTTTCCTCCCACATAGAACAGCTGTTAGTCCGCAATCTTCACGAGGGTAGGTCTTGTGTCTGACTTGTATATCTTGATCTATGTCTCACACTGACAAGAGGCTTGAGAAGTGTGGCATGAAAGAGGATAATCAGTCATACCCCAACCCTCCAGGGAGCTTTGCCCTCCTGAGATTTCAGAATAAGAAATCCAGGTGCCACAGGAGGTCACACCAGGTGCCACTGGTGTAGGTTTGGAATTAGGCTGAATAGGGCTTCATTGGGACAGAAAGAGTAGCGAAATTACAAACAGACAGAATGTATTTAGAAGCCAGACGACCTGGCTGCTTAGCAAGGGAGAGGATGATGCTAAAGGAAGAGTTGGAGGGTGGAAAAGTTCTGGGTTAGAAAAAGATCTTCGGACTGGATGTGGTGGCACACCCCTGAAATCCCAGCACTTGGGAGGCTGAGGCAGGAGGTTGACTGGGAGTTCAAGGCCAGCCTGGGCTACAGTTTGTTCAAGGCCAGACTAGAATACATAGTGAGACCTTGTCTCTAAATTAATTAATTAATTAAATGAATTTTAAAAAATGATCTTTGGGCTTCCACCATGGGGAAGGAGACTGAGTTCCCTTGGTGCCAGGTCCACAGGGAAGTAGTTTTCCCCAGAAGAAGACAGGGAAGTGTACCTAGAGAGGCACAGGGCAAGAACTGGACACCAAGGACAGCATTCAGGGTTGCACTGTGGGGTCACCTGAGACCCGGTATGGGCCAGAGATTTAGCCTCACAGGACCGCTCTGACCTCACTCCTCCCTTTCCCTGCCAGTGCATCGTGAGTGTGGCTGGTGGGGCGACTCGGGCTGCGTTGACAGTGCACCAGGCCCGGAGAAACAACATGGCTGATGTGTCGGCCAAAGATGGCAGCCAGGTGAGCAGCTCTGGGGAGCAGGGGCCTGGCCAGGCCACGGTTTAAGAATATGGTAAGAATGCAGGCAAAGAAACACAAGTACTTTTGCTATGATTCTCAAGATACGCAGTCAGGTGTAAGGTACAGCTCCGAGGGCAGTGCATCCACATCCACTCCTCACCCCGACCTGCTGCTAGAGTGATCTACCCCCTGCCCTCTGTAGGCGCAGCTCCGCGCTCAGAGCCTGGTTTTCTGATCATGCCAGGTCAAAATGGCACCTGGTAAGTCAAAAAGTATGCAGTGTATGGAGCTGCGAGGGGCACTGACCACGGTGTTTCGAGGCCCTTCTAGCACAGCCTGTACCTGACCAGGCGCGTCTGGAGAATGAGCTCTGTGGTTGTTAGATTCTCCCAAATCCTTGAGCTGGGTGCTTCTGCACACTGCACCGTTTAACTCTTACCCCAGCCCTGTAAGGTGGATACTGGTCCTGTGTTGTCCCTGTTTTATAGATGGGAGAAGTGGCGCCCTGCTGGGTCCCAGAAATGGGAGTGGTGGTTTTTGATACTGAAGTGATATAGAAACCTCTGTGCTGTCCAATCCTACTTTCCAACCTTTTACTTTATTTTGCTCAATACAACACAAGCTAGTATTTTTAAAACTTTGCCTGTGTGCCGACGGTTCCCTTTCTGTGAACTTCTTCAGTCCTTTGAGTGTGACTGTGCAGTAAGTATTCATTGTGGCTATTTTACACATGAGGAAATAAAATACAGAACTGTCTAGTCTGCCTTGTGCCCTCCACCAGGTCCCTTCCGTCAGGAGGGGGTTGCATTAGTTCTTCCTCACGATCTCTTCCAGTTCTAATTACGTAGGTTGTTAAAAATAGGAGAAATAAGCCAGGCAAGGTAGTGGCACACTTGTGATCCCAGCACTGGGAGGCTGAGGCCAGAGGATGACAAGTTTGAGCTCAGCCTGGGCAGACTTAATAATTTAGCAGGACCCTGTCTAAAAATAAGGGCTAGAGATGGCTTACTGTGGAGGCCCTGGGTTTAGTCCCCAGTACTTTGGCGGTGAGGGGCATGAGAGAAATAAGAACAATCATACCTCTCTCTTTAAACCTTCAGTTTTGCGCCTGTTCTCTTGCACCTGCTATTTCTTTTCTTTTTTCTTTTTTTTGTCTTTTTCGTTTTTATCGGTACCAGGGATCGAACTCACGACTGCCTGCTTGCAAGGCAGGCGCTTATGCTGCTGAGCTAAATCCCCAGCCCCTCCACCTGCTATTTCCATGACCTCAGCCCTGTACCCCCATCCCAGCTACTGTTTGTTCAAGGGCTCCAGGGCTTCCTTGGCGAGGCAGTGACACATCACAGGACAGCCTGCCCATCGGTTCTGCAGCAGGCCCTGCCCTCGGCTGATTTTGCTCTCTTACCATTCTGTGTGGCTGCTAGAATGGCTGTTTTCTCAGAAGGTCGCTCTGTTCCTGGTTTCCAGTTTGCTGACTCAATCACAGCCCAATCCTAACCTTGTCAGCAGGACTGAGTAAAAAGAGCTCTCTAGCATCAGGCCCCTTCTGTGCCAGGACCAGCTCTCCCAGGAACTTTAGTAGTCAGGGGCACAGTAGAGAGTCTTTCCTCCCTCATGATGAGTTGGGGGCTGGCAGCCTGATGACTTTCCCCTAGGAGGACTTTAGTCTGGCCGCCAGAGGGTTCTGATAACATCAATTCACAGGAGAAGAGTTTGGGTCCTGTCCTTTGCTTCCTGAGTAGTTTTTGACCCCTTTGCAAATTTGGTTGCCAGATATTGAATGCCAAGGGATTTGAGAGAAATCTACCTTTTACTATGGTATAAAAATGGCCCCAAAACAGTAAGGAATGTTTGAGTATGAGGCTGACTCTTGCAAAACAGAAGACATGTTCCAGACTATGCTGAGGGCACTGTAATCCACACGGGCAGCAGACCAGCTGGCTTTTACAAATGGAAGCACACTCACCAAACATGTTAAATTTTCCTTGGTGCCCCCGCCCCCCGTCAGAGCCCTAGGAGGTTCCGGAGCAGGGAGGAGTGTGGTAGAAACACTCAGGGATATGAAGTGTGGGCCGGAGTTAACTCTCCAACTCCTGACCCCTCTGCCACTTCTCAGGAGACACTGGTGAACCTTGCAGGGCTCTTGTTCAGCCTCGTGATGCTTCCTCTGGTGTCTGGTTGCCCCAGGTAAGCCAAGAACAGAGCTGGGGGGTGGTGCCCAGCTGGGCCCCTTCCCTACTGGCCATCTCACTGTCTTGGGCAGCTTCAGCCTTGGATGTTTCTTCCTCCTCACTGGCCTCCACATCTATGCCAACTACCGTGCAGTGCGTGCCCTCGTCATGGAGACCCTGAACGAGAGCCGGCTCCAGTTGGTCTTAAAGCACTTTCTGCAAAGGGGAGAGATACTGGACACCACTTCAGCCAATCAGATGGAGCCGCTCTGGACAGGTGACCCCAACCGCTCTGTCTCAAGTCCTGTGTCTCCCAGCCTCTCCCCATGCCTGTGCATCTGACTCCCAATTCCCACAGGGTTTTGGCCGTCTCTGTCTCTGTCACTAGGGGTTCCTTTACACGACCTGATCTCCAGGTGAGTAGCCTGGTGTCTCCCAATCTTCATTTCTGCCTCCCCGACTTGCTGCACGTGCTCCTTGTTCTGGTACACACTGGCCTCTGACCAGGGCCAACCTCCCTGTTCTAGGTTTTTCATTGCCACTAAACAGACTTGAGGCCAGCATGAGAGTTTGAGGGCAGCAGTGTGTGTAACAGAGTATGTGGAGGAAATATTTGCCCAGTGTGGTGATGCACACCTGTAATCTCAGCACTAGAGAGGCTGGGGCAGGCGGGTCACTGAGTTCAAGGCCAGCCTGGGCTACAGAGTGTGACCTTGTCTTTAAAAAAACTGTGTGTGTATATGTGTATATAATTGTTGACAAGGGTGGTAGATGTGAGAGTGGGTGACTGGATACATGAGCAAGGAAGGCTGGTTGTGGACTGTGCCGGGGTAACTAAGGAATAGATGGGAAGCAAGTGAAGGGGGGCCAAGATAGACAGCTGCAGCTCGCAGCCTGACCAGGCAGATCCTCCTGCCTTTGCTCTCTCCCTCCTCCCATCCCGTCTGCTCTCCACCAGTGTCTCTGAGTTGCAGCAGCTGGTTGAGGGGCACCAAGAGCCCTATCTCCTGTCCTGGAATCAGTCACGAAGTGAGTATGCCACATTTTCCCAGCCTTGGACTCACTCTCTGGGGATCAGCTCACCCCTGGCCTCAGTCTAGTGCTCAGTGGTGGGCGCGGTAGTCTAAAATGTGCATTCATATGATAGGTGTGTGCTTCATTGAAATTCATTTTACCCCTCTGTGGAATGGAGCTGCAGTAGCTGCCTTATTACCTGTATTACCTGTACTGGTTTTCTGGGGATCATATAAGGTGGTTATGTGAAAGCACTTTGCATATTACACACATCCAAATGGGGTGATGCCCCTTGTCCATCCCCTGGGAGCATTCTCCCTGACTCTCCTCCCGCTAAATCCAGTCCTTGAGATAGGTGGTCGGCCAATGGTATTAATTCTCACTAGTGGCCTCAGTGAGGCGCTGTGAGGCTGTATTTGAACACTGGGTGTTTCAGTTTGGCCAGAGCCTTGGGAAGCAACAAGAAATGAGGTTGCACGGGAAATGTTGGGGAAAGAGCCTGCAATGCCTGGTGAAGGCCTCTGGGGGAGGACAGTTGAAGCAGGGTGACAAGGTTGAGGGTGTTTGGGGAGGTGGCCCTTCCCTGATACCTTGCCTTCCTCCGGGTCTCTGCAGACAAGGTGCAGGTAGTTTTGAGCCATGTGGCAGGCCCTGAGGCTGTCCTTAGGGCTGCCACCCATGGCCTGCTGCTTGGAGCCCTGAAGGAAGATGGGCCCCTTCCACGAGAGCTGGAGGAACTAAGGAACCGGGTGCGGGCAGGTAAGAGCTGAATTATCGACACTGTGGAGCAGGGGTGAGGAGGAAATGGACTGTGTGTCCTGCAGAGGACATGCGAGCTTCTGGTTCTGCACCCGCCTCAGGTCGTGAGAAGGACAGCCAGGCCATCGTCAGGGAGACATACCGAGTGCTGGACAAGCTGTTCCCGAGGTTTTTGGAAGGTAATATAGGTCCTGTGTCTCATCCCCTGGGCCTTCATATACCCACCCCACGCTTTCACCTGGGAGATAAAAGACTTGGCTTTTCTCAGTGATCTTAAGTTTAGGACTCGGTTTCCCTGTGTGTGGGAAGAGGAAGTGAGGATGGGATCTGAGGCTGTGTTGGGGTTGACAGTCTGTGTAGTCCCAGTTGGCATTGAAGAAATAGAGGGGAGGTAGGGCTCATTTACTAATAATGACCTTTTATTTAGAACTTACTCCATTTTGCACCTTTTCTATGCATTATCTATGAATTTTAGCTGCAATCAAATGAGATTTGAGTCTGATGTTATCCCAGACATCACCCAGAAACTGGAGAGTCCAGGCAGTGCCCATGCCCTCCTTAACTCCCTCCATGGTCAGCCCGGCCTCCTCCCCAGCATCACCCCATGTCTTCTCCCCAGGACTGCAGGCTACTGGCTGGAAGACAGAAAAGCACCAGCTCGAGGTGGATGAGTGGAGAGCTACCTGGCCCCTATCTCCAGAAAAGAAGGACTTGTGAACAGCTCAGGTGGGGGCCCAGGACAGGAGCCCAGAACGTAGGCCACAGAAGGACACAGGAAGAGCAACTTTATTTTTGCTTAGGAGAATGGCCGCAGACAAATTCAGGTTGGCCAAGGCCTTCTAGGAAATGACTGTCAGTCAGGTGCACTGGGCCCCCGGCAGAGATGAAGCAGAGAGAAGGAAAACCAGGGCCTTCCCCCGCTGGCCCATTCTCCTTTCCTGGGGACCACTGCAGGCTCCCCACCCCTACTGACTGTGAGGCTGAACCCTGCTCCATTGTGGCTTGTGGCATCCAACACATTTGACTTCATGCATAAAAGCCCCAGAGGAACATGGCCACTGCCATCATGAGCAGGGCATTGAGGTTGACCACGCGAGCCCAGCGTGGGTCCTCGCTGATGTCGTCCAGCTGCCTGGCTGTTGCAGTCACCATTTCCTCAGTCGAGGGTGGAAGGCTGCCTGCCTGTCCCCTGCCCATGCCACAGAACCACAGCAGGCACCGGCGGAACGGGCCTGGGGCTGGGGACCGAGGCTCTGGGAGAAATTGAGGCCATGGTCAGTTAGTTGGAAGGAAGGTGGCTTCCTGGGCCCACCTCCCCGGCAGTTCTTACCCTCCATCTGCACTGCGTGCTCTGGCTGCCCGTTCTGCACAGGGGGAGAGGTTGGAGCTTCCAGGTCATCAGCGTCCAGGTCCTCCCGTTCCTCCTTGCTATGCCGGAGACTGAAAACCAGGCGGTGGAGCTGGGGAGGGGTAGAAGCAGGAAGCAAGTAGGAGTTGTGTTCTCACCCTAGGCCCGAAATGAAGATGTTTCGAGCATACTCAGCACAATAGCTCTGTCACTGCCCTCGCTAACCTCCTGCTGGCCAATCCACAAAGCTAGCCCAGGCTCAGCCCAAAACTCTGCCTTCCATGCCTGCTTCTCTGCCTTCAGGCTAACCCCCAAGTTCCTCTGCTGGGTTAAAAGCTATTGGCCCTGCTCACCTGAGCCTCATCACCCCAAGTGACCTGTCTACACACAGAGCTGTTGCCTCCCAGTTCTGCTCACTGTGTTCGTGCCTGTGAAATCTGCTCAGTTGCTGCCGTTGAACCGTGTCCTCTCTCCCAGTCCAGCTCTTTTATGTTGTCCCTGCCGTCCACCGTGCCCCGGAGCACAAGGCAGAAACCCTTTCATGTGTTTTCAAGGTGATTCAGTGTTCCTCTCAGCCTGTCACATGTTTTGTATCCTAAAAGCCACGCCAAAGATTGGCTTTGGGGAGCTTTAATCGCCAACCTGCCAAAGTGTTTGGTTCACCCCCACCCCAACTACTTCAAATAAATACCATCTAGGTGAAAAGGTTGTGCTTGCTCTATAACTGCAGCTTAAAACTGGACTCACCACTTGTCCCTCAACCCCACTGTAGCAATTCAGATCATCCCCTCTGCATGGAAATGGGTCTGTGCAGCGCCTGTCCTGTCACAGAGGCTGGCACTCACATGCTTGCGTGGGATGGGTGCAGTGCACAGGGAAACCGCCAGGGTGAGGAGGCCGGAGCAGACGAAGAGCACAATGGCGAAGTAGAGATAGTGCACTCTACAGAGGAGCGCTGGACACGCCGAGGGCCGCACGCAGCTGCCTGTGCCGATGGAGAACTCGGGAATGAGGCGTGCCAGTCCCATCAGCAGGCCCCCGATCAGTCCCCAGAAAGCACCCTGCAGGGGAGAGAGCGTCAGTCTGCTCTGGGTGTCAAGCACTGCCCCAGCTCATCAGTACGCACGCTGCTCACCTTCTCGTTAACTCGAGGCACAAAAAGTGCAAGCACGAAGACGGCAGACACGGGGGGTGCCAGGTAGCTGGAGACCGACTGGATGTAGTCGAAAAGCTGCCCGCCCTGTGCAGCCTGCACTATGGGCAGCCAGGCCACCGATACTGCCACGATGAATACCACCCACAGCCTGCAGTTGGGAGGCCATGGAGGGATTTTACCCAGGACCATCCTTCCCTATAATCCTCCATGGCTAAGCTGTGAGACGAGGCGGGGAGGAGTAGGGAAGCCTAGGCCTACCGTCCAACTAGTAGCAGCTCCCCATCACCTGCACGAGGCCGCAGACGGGTGTAGATGTCCATGGTGAAAAGCGTGCTGCTGCTATTAAAGATGGAGGCTAGCGAGGACATGAGTGCGGCCAGCATAACCGCTAGCATGAGTCCACGCAGACCTGTAGGCCAAACAGGAGCCATGAAGGCAGATACCTCTGCAATGGTAGTGTCCCGGTGTCCCTGCTCATTGGGCAAGAGACAACCCGTGGGCCTGCTTTTACCATTGGGCATTAGTTTCACCACAAGGCGCGGGTAGGCGATGTTGGAGCAGCCCACCTCTGTGCCACATACCCGCTTGCACACCTCGGGCACCACGCAGGCCACTTCATCTGCAAGAGAGTGGGTAGGCTGGAACCTGACCTGAGACTGAATCCTAGTGAAGACTGGGAATCCTAGCAGGGGAAAGATGGTACCTCTAGTAGGAGGCAGGACTTGGATATCAGATTCTCTAGTCTTAGGAAGGTACAAGAAGGAGATAGGCACTGGAATCCTTACGGTAGAAAGGGGCTGAATGCAGCCCGGGCCTCAGGCGGGTCAGGAATGCAGACATTACCCGGATAGAGGATTCGGCTGATCATGCCTGGCATGACCATGAGGAACATGGGCATCAGCTTCAGGTAACCGCACAAGATGCAGCCCGCCTTGATGTGGGTCAGGTTCTTTCCAGCCAGGCAGCGCTGCACTATGACCTGTGACAAGGGGTGATCGACAGCCTGGGCGTGGCCCCTGGACTCCAGCCCCTCACGCCTGCCTCAAACTGCTGTCTCTCCCTACACCCCTGCTCTAATTCCTGCACAGCCTCTGGCTCAGCAGTTTCCCTACTCTGTAGCCCTGACCCCTCACCTGGTCACTGCACCAGTACCAGCCAGAGACAATGGTGAGCCCCACAAGCAGTGCAGGCCATGGCAGGTCCCCTGTCACAGGGTCCCGGAGCAGGTGATAGGAGTCAGGCCGAGGTCGATAGCAGGAGCTGGAGATGTTGCCCACAGCTGGATCCTCTGACACCGTCAGTGAAGTCATTGCTCCCAGGTACTTGTCAAAGAGACCCGAATACCCGCCCACCTCGTGGAAAGCTGTTTGGAGAAGCCACCAGTGCTAAGGCCCTTCGGGTCCATGTTCCAGAGCCGTTAATGCCTGTGCTTCCCCCTCTTTGTGTCCCTCCCCCACTGGCTGCACCCCATACCGTAACCCATGAGGATGAGGGCACCCCCGAGAATGACGAAGGTCTGCACGGTATCCGTGTACATCAATGCTGCCAGTCCTCCTGCAAGAGCCCTGAGTCAGTGGGGACAGCCCAGTCCCTGAACTCTAGCACAGAGGAGCCTTTCTAAGAAAGTAGCCCTTTCTAGAGAACAAATTTGAAAATCGCAGCCAACCTCCCAACTTCTGCACTGCATCACCAGGAAGTAGGGCCTGAGCAGAGTTTTAGGTTCCACTGAAGCCTCCTTGGTTAGGCATCCACATGAGGATCCCCTCTGTAGACTCCCTCTAGACCCCATTTTTCTCATCTAAATTGTAGGAAGGGTGATTCTCTAAGGCCCATTTATTCCACCCTATCCCAGTAGCGGCCCTTCAAGAGACACCAGACCCCACTCTGCTCTGCTCTGCAGCTGACCTCAAGCCCCACCCTAGAATCCTCAGAACTTCACTGGATTTGGACAGAGATCCTGAAGACTGACCAAATCCCAGGCATTTAAGAAGGGTAAAATCAGCCAGGCATGGTGGTGCATGCCTATAATCCCAGCACCTGAAAGGCTGAGGCAGAAGGATCACTGTGAGTTCGAGGCCAGACTGGGCTGTGTAGTGAGACCCTGTCTCAAAAGGTGGGGAGTAGGTAGGGTGCAAAATCTTCACTTTTCCCCAGTCCCTATTCAAGCCCAAAACCAGCGTGGCACTGGACCTTCCAGTCAAATCCAAGGATCAGTGGGAAAAGAAAGGGAGTTCGTTCCCCAGTGATTCTGCCATTCTTTCTCCCCCCTGGACCATATCACATTTCCAGGTGTCTCCATCCCCTTTTGCCCTAGTTGCTCCCATAAACTCTGATCACAGCTTCCAACACATTCCTGGCAAGCCCCCCCCCCCCCCCGCCGCTTCTGTGAAGTCACCTGTTACTGTGTAAATCATGGTGATGATCAGGAGCGCAATAACAGAGGCATAGATGTTCCAGCCCAGAGCCTGCTGAATGAATACGGCCCCGGAGAACATGTCCACCTTGGAAAAAGAGCAAGCACACAGGTCAGCGACCAGGTTCACCTCTGTTCAATCTACGATCCTAGGTGGCTACACCTCAAAGGGTCCCTCATTTTTAACAGCTTGGTCCCATGACAGTAGCCGTGGCCCCTGGCCCCTATTCCCTCCAGGCTCTGCCTCCGCCAAGGTTTACACCGGTGTTTCCCTCCGCCTCGCCCTGCAGACTCCCTGGCTTTGCTAGGCAGCCCTGCCCCTTCTAGGAACCCCCACCCCGCCCCCGACCCAGCGGCCGCGCATGCGCACCGAGATCTTGGTGAAGATGTACAGGAAAAGCGAGAGCACAGACAGGTAGAGGCGGATGCGACGACCGCCAAAGCGTTTGCGCAGGTACTGTGGCATGGTGATGACACCGGCGGTCAGGTACACCGGGGCGAAGAGCCAGCCGAGTAGCAGCACCACGAACAGCGCCTGTGGGCACAGCATGACAGCGGAACCCGCGACTCCGGGCTCCTCATCCTGTCCTCCGCGCTGGAGGAGCTAAGAGTCGTTTTCCTGAACGTGACACCATACGGCAGGCGGTCCTGGGGTCTCAGACCTAAGCCGTGGCCAGTAAGTAGCAGAATCTTGCCGGGTGTGTTGGCACACGCCTGTCCCAACACTCAGAAGGCTGAGGCAGGAGAATTCGAGTTCAAGACCAGCCTGAGCTACAAAGTGAGCTCAAGGCCAGCCTGAACTGCATAGTGAGACCCTGTCTCAAAAAAAGAAGATGAAGATGAAGGAAGAAGGAGGAGGAGGAGGAGGAGGAGAGGAAGAGGAGGAGAATCTTGCCACCTTTTTGAGCCCTTAGCTAAAACCGTTTGGCCCTCACTCCTAGTCAGTCCCTCTAACCTCCACCCCCTTGCCTTTCCTAGACTATGAACCCAAGCACAGACCCTTCACACTGACTCCGGCATCTGCCAAACAGGCCTGCCTCCACTTCACTGTTCTCCACTCACCCAAACCTTTTGCTCTTCAAGGCTCTGCTCAGAGACTTCCTCCTCCAGGAAGCCCTGAGCTCAAAGCCCTGTGACTGCAACCCACCAAGATGCTCCTCAATCCCAGACCACTGTCTCCTCTTCAGCTTCTGCAGAGCGCTTTAAATTGGCCTAGAGATCTTCACAGACTGCAACTCCAGAGAGCTTCTCCATCTTTGAACTGGCCCACTTCAGGAAGGCATACACTAATGCTCAACGGAGTGTCTGGTACCGGCTGGCTCACACAACAAGCCCAGAACAGGACCTGCCCCTACCCTGAACGTGGCCGTCTTCTGCATCCTGCTGCCCCCTGCTGTGCCCGTGCCCCTCATCCCCGGCCTGACCTCACTCCACAACTAGGACATCCCGTCTCCAGCCTGGTATATCACCCACTCCACCAGGAGCCTCCCCAGTGCAGGATTCTTTCAGAGGTCCCCTTAGGCGCAGGTTTATGGTGGGGAAAGAGCCCTTACATTCCACTCAAACCCAGCCACAGCCAGGCCGCTTGCAGCACCAGTCCCTGCGAGGCCGACAAAGTGGCCGCTGCCGATGTTGCTGGCAAAGAGGGAGGCTCCAACCTGGGTGGCCAAAGGCGGGGGTGAGCCAGGCTGTCTCTCTAGATCCCCTCTTGCTACTCAATCAGCCCAGTCACGCTCACCGGCCACCAGATCATGCTTCGTCCTGCCAGGAAGTAGCCACCAACGGTGCCTCTGTTGGTTCTACACATAGACTAGGGAACAGAAGTGGGGGGAGACTTGGGTTTAGGGCCACATCTTTGGACTTCACTAGCCTCCTCGACACATTCCTCAGCCTTCTTGCCAGCTGAAGATTAACCAACGTTTGACTCCCCTGATTGTTCATACTCCCACCCCCAGCCTCCACCCAGACATCCAGAGCCATCCAGACCCCAATCCTAGTGCCCAGCTACTCAAGCCTAATTGTAGCTAATTCGGCCTGACTTTCCAGCAGGCCTTGGGCATGGACTTCGGGCCAGCCACATGGCCAGGGTAACAGAGACCTCAGCAGTGCTGAGCTTGGTTAAAACCCAATGACCTCCTCAGTTAGCACAATCCGAAGATGGGAAAACAAGAAATTCATGCTGACTGGGCTTCTCTGGGTCCTTCAAAAAATGTGCTTACTTCCAGGCCATGAGATTTCCCCTCTCATATCTAGGCATCCTTCCCCCACCCATGTCTGGGGTCTCCCTAAAAGATTTCCCCTGGCCTCCGAAGCCCATTCTCCAACAACAACCCTGCAACTTCTCACCCATAAGCCAACACCAATGACCAGCAGGAAATAAGCAGCGATGACCAAGATGTCAGCAGGATTGTCGATTAGGACTCTCTGGTCCCCCAGCACCGGTTCAGAGCCTGCCTCCGTGTGTTCCTTCATTCTGCCCAGCATCTGCCCCTCAAGGGAACAGTTCCCGGATTCCCCCAGGAGCTGGATTAATGGTTACCTCAGGGGCAGTGAGCCGACAAGTCCCCCAGGTCTCATCACCCCTCCCCAGCTTTATTTAGCTGAATCAGATCATATCGAGGCCGAAGGCTGGTCCTGGGAAGCTGCGCCCTTTCAAGTTCAGAACCACTTCTTCTTCCAGGGCCTTCACCTCCTCCCCAGTGTCCAGGCTCAGAATCACCATTTCCATCCCCTAAAAATCTGTCCCCTTCATTAATCTTTTATGAAAGGGAAGAAGACCAATAGGTGAAAGAAAGAGGGATTAAGAGGAGGGGGAAGAGTATGAAAAAAGGATTAAAATGTGTTATATACATGTATCAACTCTGCGCAGTATAATTATTATGTACTGCAAACATGTACTAATACACATTAAAATAGGGGCTGGGGGCTTAGCTCAGTGGCACAAGCACCTGCCTGGCAAGCACCAGGTTGTGAGTTCAATCCCCAGTACAGAAAAAAAAAAACTTATTAGGATGCACATTGCCAAAATAAAAATAATCTACTCCTTCACCCTTGACTGGGGGAGCTGGGCTGAGCCAACTCCCAGATTCTGTTAATCCAAAGAGGTGATTTTCAAGCTCAAATCTAACAGTGTCACTCTCCTGCTTAGAAATCCTCCAAGCACCCCAGCCTGACCCCCAGGCCTGTCAGGCCCTGACGCCTGCTGCCCTCCCTACCTGCTTCTCTCTCCCAAATCTAGAGTAAACCACATCACCCTTACCACTTTGCCCTACCCAGCCCAGATTCAAATTCATATTCTCTCTCCGTTCTCTCTCTCCTCCCTCCTTTTCTCCCCTCCTCCCTCTCACATTTGGAAATTTTCAAACCCTCCCACCTTTGCATATGTTGTACTCTCAGCTTAGAGCACCTTGTTGTCTCCCAAAATGTCACCTCCTCCTCAGCCTTTGGTACCTAATGTATAACACCTCTTCTCAAAGGCTCTGCTGACTTTTCTGATATAGTTCTAAGCACATTGTATGGTCTTTACCTGAGTCTAGGTCTGGTTCCCTGCCAGACTAGAGACTCATGAGTCATCCCTGAAGTCCTACTGCTCTACCCAGAAAAAAAAGGATGGTGAATACATATACATCTGCCTGTCTAGAATTGACCAGACATGGGTGCCAGGAAGTGGTTGAAGAAGATTCTTGTCTGCATTAATCCTTGAAATGGGAAACAGAGAAGAATACTGTGTTACTCTGGCCCATTCACTGAAAGACTCAAAAAGATGCTAACTTTGAATAAGGCTGTGCAACAGGTCCAGGCTGCTGTGCAGGCTGCTCTGTCACCTGTGGCCGTGTGATCCAGCAGATCCAGTGGCACTTGAGGTGTCAGTGGCATGTAGATATGTTATTTGCTATTTCTGGCAGGACCCATAGATGAATCACAGTGGAAGATTTTAGGATTTTGGAGCACGGCTGTGCCATCATCTGCAGACAAATAGTCTCCCTCTGAAAAGCAGCCCCTGCTTCTGGGCCTTAGTGGAATCTGAACATTTGATCATGGGACACCAGGTTACCACGTGACCTGAGCTGCCGTCGTGAGCTGGTGTCACCTGATCCCCTGAGTCATGAAACAGGATGTGCACAGTAACATCATTAAGCGAAAGTGCTGTATATGGGATCGAGTCAGAGCAGGTCCAGAGGGCATAAGTAAGTCACATGAAGAAATCGCCTAGCTCCCCATGGCTCCTACTCCTGCTGCATTTCCTTCTGCCCCTGGTATGCGCCTATGGCTTCATAGGATATACTGTATGACCTACTGACAGAGGAAGTGGGCCTGGTTTATGGATGGCTCTGTACATCACACAGGCACCACCTGCAAGTGGACAGCTGCAACATTATCGCCACTTTCTAGGACATCCTGGAGGACGGTGGTGATGGGCAATCTTCACAGTGGGCAGAACTTCAGGCAGTGAGCTAGCCATACATTTTTCCTGGAAAAAACTGATCAGATGTGCAATTAAATATTGATTTATGGGCAGTAGCCAGTGATCTGGCTGGATGGTTAGGGACTTGGAAGGACTGTAACTGAAAACTGGAAGAGATATATGAATAGACTTTTCCATATGGGCAAAGGATGTGAAGATTATCTGTGCCCCATGTAAATGCTCACCAAAAGCTGATCTTAGCAGAGGAGAGCCTTCATAATCAAGTGGATAGGATGGCCTGTTCTGTGGATAGTGTCAGCCTTTTTCTGCAGGCACCCTTGTCATTGTCCAATGGACTTGTGAGCAGAGTGACCGTGGTGACAGGGATGGAGGTTTTGCATGATCTCAGCAACATGGACTGCCAGTCACCAAGGCTGATCTGGCTGCCTCCACCACAGAATGCCCCATGTGCTAACTGCAGAGATCAGCTCTGAGTCTGGGCAATTAGCCTGCCACCTGGTGGCAAGTTGATACCATTGGACCACTTCTCTCATGGCAAAGACAGTGCTTTGTCCTAATGGGCACAGACATCCTGGATGTGGGTTTGTTTTCCCTGCATGTAATATCTCTGCCAAAACCACCATCCATGGGCTCAAAGAATTCCTTATCTACCATTATGGAATTCCGCACAGCATTGCCTCTGACCAAAGAACACATTTTATGACCCAAGAAGTAAAGCAATAGGCTCCTGGACATAGAATTCACTGGTCTTACCATGTTCCTCACCATGTAGAAGCAGCTGATGAAAAGGTGATAGAAAGGTGGAATAGTCTTTCAAAGACACAGTTACCATGCTGGCTAGGTAGCAATAGCTTTCAGGGCTGGGGCAGGGGTCTTCGAAAGGCTGTGTATGCTTTGAATCAGCATCCACTGTATGACACTGGGTCTCCCATAGCTGGGATGCATGGGCTCAGGAATCACGGAGCGGAAGTGCGAATGGTATCACTCACCATTACCTTCAGTGATCCACTATCAAAATGTTCGCTTCCTGTTCCTGCGACCTTATGTTCTGCTGGCCTAAAAGTCTTAGTTCCAGAGGGAAAGTTTGTACCAAGAGACACAATGATATCACTAAACCGGAAGCTAAGACTTCCCCCAGTCATTTTAATCTCCTCGTACTTCTGAGTAAACTAGCTAAAAAGGGAGCCAAGGTGTTGGCAGGGGTGACTGACCCAGACGATCAAGAGGAAATTGTACTATTTACTTCATAATGGAGGAAAACACAAATATATTCAGAGCACAGGAGATCCCTTAGAGCACCTTCTAGTATTACTGTGCCCTGTTCAATGGCAAACTACAAGAATCCAATCCAGGCAGGAATACACATGACCCAGAACCTTCAGGAATTAAGATATGGGTCATCTTGCCTGGAAAAGAACTGAGAAGTGCTGAGGTGCTTGTGAAAGCCAAGGGAATTCAGAATAAGTTGTAGAAAAAGTATAACATATATAATTTGTTTCTTTAGTGATACAAACTCCTCTAGTTCTTCTGATACAAATATTTTAGGTGAATTCATAAATGATGAATTTTATTTAAAAAGTGCCTTATTTTAGATTCCTTTAAAAGCAAGTCCTAGCTGGGCATGGTGGTACACACCTGTAATCCCAGCATTCGGGAGGCTGAGGCAGAAGGATCTCAGCAAGTTCGAGGCTAGCTTCAGTTACATAGTGAACTCAAGGTCAGTCTGACCTACACAGGGGGATCCTGTCTCAAAAAAACAAAACAAGTAAATAAAAAAAGTAAAAGCAAGCCCTGAGATGAGAAAAAAAATCTGGAAACTAAACATAGTCACGGCAACAGAAGACACAAATTAAGTGCTTATCTCAAGCATGTGAGGTGTCAAGAGGGAGGAAGGAGGCAGGACATTCAGGGACACCCCAGTGTGATGTTCTGTCCTGGCTCCGCCACTGTCTATTGAGTCTTGCACAGGCCTCCACACTTTCCACCTCTGGCTCATTGACTACTCGAGGTAAATCATTCTTGGCATCACAGGGGCATTGCATCCAAATCCCCGGGCAGATAGCCAAATCTAAGGCTGCTCAACTCCCTTGTATAAAATGGTGTAGTATTTGCACCCAACCCACCCACATCCCCCCACATACTTTACCTCTAGATTACTTAGTAAACGCTGTGGAAATAGGTGTCATACCTTACTGCTTAAGGACAAGGAAAAAGTCAAGACATTTTCTAGAAAACAGCCATTTTCCTGAAATGTGTTTGATCTAAGGCTGGTTGAATCTATAGATATGGAATCCATAGGTAGAAAGGCTAATTGTACTTTACTGGGAAGGGAACCTGATAAGAACTTTGAAGGCATGGGGAAGTGAGACAGAAAGGGAAGAGGTCAGTAGACGGCGCACTAACCACTGTGAGCAGCTGGAACCCAACGCCAGAGTAGAGAGCTTCCTGACATGCCTGAGAATTGAACCATAAGGGGTGGGAAGCTGGGGTATTTTTTACCAGTTCCCGTCTCCCTGGGAGAAAGTCCGAGACACTCATGTACACGCACCCTCTCACACACATTTCGGGCCTACCAAATACATGGCATACACTTTCTCCTCTAAAGAGTCCCCCAGACCCAAGCAGTGCCAGTCGACATAAAATAAATCTGCCTCAAAAAAACAAAAGTGTCTCCCAGACAAGAAGCTTGCAAAGCAGCAAAGAATAGGTGTCAGGGACCTGTCCGCCTGACCTTGGCGGTGGGCCACGTGGATACAGGCAAGGACCCACAGTGCCCGTTTCAGGGTGTGAGTTTAAAGTGCCTAAGAGACATCCGAGGGCAAGGATCACAGTACATATTGGAGTTATGTACACTTAAAATCTATATTGCCTTTACCAGAGCCTAAAATATCCATCATGATGTAACATCTCCTTTCCTACTACTCTCTGCAGTTTGCTCTGATCTAGCCACATGGCTTTCTTTCCTTTCTTCCAATATGCCAAGCGGTTTCCTACTTCTTGGCCTTTGTACGTGCTGTTTCTTCTGCCTGGGATGCTTTTCTGAGACTCTTTGCCTGGCACACTTTCTCAATTTCTAAGGCTCAGCTTAAACATTGTTTCCACAGAGATCTTTTCCGACTATCTGGTTCTTTTCACATCTCTAAGTCAATTCACTGCTTTTTCTTTTTTCTTTAAACTTCACTGAAGATCACTACTTTTTCCTCCTCACTCTTTTCCTTCCTTTTTTATTCTTTCTTTCATTCATGAACATTTATTAAGTAGCTCCCCTATTCTAGATATCGTTGTAGAAACTGGATGGTCAGCAAAATAAACATGTTGCCTGTTTTCAGGAGCTTTCACTCCAGTTTCAAAACGATATGAACAAGCAACAAATGACATCTCTTCATGACAGTGATAAGCACCAGCAGGGAAGGAGAGAAGTTCCCTGGGACGGACAATACGGGAGAGCTGACTTTACCTGAACACTCAGCAAGGCCCTATTCTCTCATCACACTCATAGCTTATGTGCATTTACTTGTCTGTCTCCCTCTCTTCTATCCATTTTTAGTTCCCTGAGTGCAAGGAGGATGTCTAGTTGGTTCCCCAGTGTTCCCTCAGAGCCTGGCCCAGTGAGTGCTCCTACACATTTGCAGAATGAATGAATCAAGATTAGAGATGGCCAATTTGAGAATTCTTGAGACAGAAGTAGTTGCATGTGAGGAGACAGACAAACATCCCCCAGGGAGGATACATGGAGGAAAAGAGAAGAAAGAAGATCCAGGCAGTGGAGCCTTAGAGAGGAAAGATCTTCGGGTCTGCCAGAGGCACAGGCACTACTTTTTCTTGCCTGTGGCTACTAGCTCCTCTTGAGCTGGAAGGGCCTTGTTTACAGCACCAAAAGCCTCTATAGTCCGGACCCTGGGGTGCAGATCCCCTTCCTAGAGAAAGGGATCCAAAGAGAAGGTTCTGGAGCTCATAAAGGCTCCTCAGACTTAGGAACTCAGATGGAGCCTGAACTTCTCCAAATCTGAAAACCCCCAGCCTCACCCTTGTCTGTGGTTAGTTCAAATGCCACCTCTTCCACAAAGACTTCCTTGATTCCTGGTCTTGATTAGAAGCCTCTCTCAAGCTCCAGTAGTCCCAGGGTTTCCCTCAGACACTGCTAGACACATCAAATGTCATCCTCTAAGCCTCCATTCCCTTCACCAGGCTGGGGCTGTCAGGGCAGTGCCTGTATAGACATGGAGTTGCATCAGGCAAGTCCTCAGAGAGTTACTGATAACCAACAGGCAACATAAATAATGACTTTGGATATACCGAATTCTCTGCCTTGACATGGATGGATATTTCAGAGTGGGACAAGACAGGTGATTTAATATGTGGATCAGTACCAGTACCAGCAAAAGGAAAACTGTGCTTCAGTTGCCAGATCCAAAGGCTGGGCATACCTTGACACTTCTGGATGGAGCCCAACCTCTGAGGGTCTTTTAAGGAAAAATGAAATCTGGGAACCAAGCACAAGCAGGGCAGGAGAAGCATATTAAGTGCTTATTTCAAGGTTATAGGGAAATGGAGGGATTAATGGAAACAGGAAGGATCAGGAGTTCCCCAACGAGCATTTTTTCCTAGTCGCACCAGTATCTGTACAACTCCCGCAAGTGACCACCCTTTCCAGCTTCCCCTCATCTGACTCAGTAATTGCCATCTGAGAGCAGAGGCTGCAGTTCCTGTGATGGCCACTGGGCGGTGGCGTAGAGCCCACCGAGGACCGCGCCAGCACAGTGGCTGGGCGTTGGAAGGCAAGTTGTCCGGCGCAGAGCAGAGATACGGCATCTGTGAGGCGTGGAATGCGTGTTTATGTACGTAGAAAAAAGTGCACAAACCAGTGAGGGGGCGCGGGGAACCTGCCCTGGCCTCTGATCAGCCGGCATTGCAAGGGCGGAGGGTGCCCTCCGCCACGCAGGGGCACCCTCGAGGGTGGGAACGTAGTGAGGGGCTCACTCGGGATTTCTTCAGCGTAAAACCCATTGTGAGGGTGTGGGGGTGTTGTATGGGCAGGGCCTTTTCTGAACTATACCTGCCAGAACGCAGAGTACTTTAGGGGCGAGGCTCCCCAGTGCTTAGGGACACACAAAGCACGGTTTGGGGCAGCCTGGAGCTCCGACCCAGCGCTCAGGATCTGGAGGATCGGGGCTTTCCAGAGGGAAGGGGTCTTCGCGGGCTCTGGGGTCAGCCGAAGAGCTTCAGGAAGCAGGGCTGACAGTAGGGTTTGCCGGCTCGCTCCTGGAAGGAGCCCTTGGTGAGTGGGCGCAGGCAGAAGGTGCAGGTGAAGTGATCCGGGTGGAAGCGGCGGCCCAGGGCCGACACGCAGCGGCCGGTCACTGGGAGGCCACACGTGGCGCACAGCGAACCGCGCCGGGCGTGGAAATGGTTCTCGCACAGCGGGCGTCCCTCGTGCTCGAAAAAGCTGCCTCCAGAAAAGGGCGCGAAGCATTCCTGAGCAAGGCGGTCATGATAGGAAGTCAGCGGCCAAAGCCGGGGACCAGGAACTAGCGGAGAAACACTCCCCGGCCCCTCAGCTGGGTCCACCGCGAAGCCCCGCCCTGCCCCCAACCTCGCCTCTAGCCCCCCCACCTACGGTTCGCAGGCGCTAGGCCTCCCACCGCCACGCCCCCGTAGCCACGCCCCCGTAGCCACTCCCGCAGTCACGCCCCCATAGCCACGCCCCTCGTAGCCACGCCCCCACCCGCCAGTTCCCCGGGCTTCGCTCGCACAGCTACGCACCCTGCAGACGAAGCAGTCAGGGTGCCACAGCGCGCTGAGCGCCGAGATGTAGTTATCCAGAATGGGGCCTTGGCAGCCCTGGCAGCGCGGGGCGAACAGCTGCAGGAAGTCCCGGCGACAGTAGGGGCGGCCCTCTCGCTCATGGAAACCTAGGGGTGGGAACCGAATGGGCGGGACTAGCAACAAGATCCGAGCCTGGCACGTGGGAGGGGCAGGGTGACCGCAGCAGGAGGGATCGGGATCTGGGCGAGGGCGGAGGGCAGGGCAAGGGATGGGAACCCACGCTGGGGGAGACGGCAACATAAGAGAATGGGAGAAAATCCAGGGCCTGAAAACAGCGGAGGCCAGAGGAGTGGAGGCAAGATGTCAAGCAGACTTGGGGCTTCTAAAAAAAGGCGAGCCTGGAGCTCTTACCTTCTTCTCCGAAGGGCTCCCCACAACTGACGCAGCAGAAATGCTCTGGGTGCCAGTGGGTGCCCAGGGCAGTAACCATCTTCTGCAGGGAAAGAAAAGGGCCTCAGTGGACCTACGTGAGAGAGCTGAAGCACGAATCTGAGGGGTACAAGGTCTAACAAGGATTTTCAGAGTCACAGAGGAAGAGCTGAAAACAGAGCTGGGGGGGGGGCGTGAGGCTGCCCCAGGCTAGGATGGGAGGAACCTATGAGCCCCTTCTGCGGGGGTGGGGGCGGGTGGGAGACGAGTCTGTGGGGGCCGTGGGGGCCGTGGGGCCCGTCAGAGCGTACATGTCGGATGGGTTGGTTGCAGAAGCCACAGCGTGGAGAGAAGCGCTCAAAGTAGCACTCGGGGCAAAAAGGGGCTCCATCCTTCTCGAAGAAACTGCTACCTCCTAGGGTCATGGAGCAGCCACCACAAACGAAGTGCTCAGGGTGCCAGGCACGGCCCAGAGCGGTCACCACCTGCAAGTTGGGAGTGAGGGCTGGGTCAGAGCAGTGGCACGGGGGCTGCCACATGCCCAGTGAACTGAGGCATGTATGGCACTTTACAAGTCTTCCTGAGATTGAAGGGTGAAAATTCAGTGTTCAAGGTCATACAATCTGTAGGTGATGGAGATTCAACCTAGGTCTTCCAGCTTTGTCCCAGGGTAAACTATCCCTGAGGTACATCAGGGACAGGGCAGAGGGCCTACAATACACCTAGGGGATGATGAATAGGTTTTAATTTGTTTTTTGAATCTTTACATAAAAACAAGAAAAAAATGATTTAACAAAGAATATTGATACTTCATCTTTACGCCAGAACAGTCCTGTTTTTTTTTTTTTTAATTGAGGAAAGGACCCAGGAAGAAACAAGTACCCAGAGCCCATGAATGTCATAAAGCCACCAGTGTGGCTGGCTGGCAATTCTGAGGTGTGAGTTGGTACTATTGCAGAAGGCTCTAGGCCAACCACTGGTCACAGATGTCAGTCAAATCTTATTCATAAGCCAAGAACCAGTGATGATCTTCTTCCAAGGGGAAGAGACAGTCTTTGGATACCTGTGAAATGCTGGGTACAGCCAGTAAACATTTGTGAAATGGAGGTTTGAAAATGATCTAGTGCAGAACCCAGCACACAGTCAGAATTCTTACCCTACAACTTATTTGCTGTTTCTTCATTTATGAAATACAAATGGTGAGCTAATGGTTTGGCTCAGTGATACAGGCCCTAGTTCCAACCTCAACACCAAAAGTCTTTTACTTAAAAAAATAAAATACAATAATAATATCCACTTAACAGTTACTTATGAAAAGAAAACAGCACAAAGCCAGGTATGGTAGCATGTGCCTACAATCTCAGCACTCAGAAGGCTGAGGCAGGAGGACCAGCTACAAATTTGAAGCCAGCCTAGGCTACAAAGTGAGTTCAAGGCCAGCCTGAACTGTATATCAAAACCTTGTGTCAGAAATGATGGAGAGAGAGAGAGACAGACAGAGAGAGAGAGAAGAGAAAAAAGAAAAAGCACAAATCTTGGTTCTCAATAAAGATGGGTCTGTGGATACCTGCCTCCCTTCTTACAAGGCTCTACTTACTTGGCCAGCAATTGGTTTATTGCAGGAGCCACAGAGGCCCTTGGCCTGGGTGGGGACACCTCGGCGGCTGAGGTCAGACTGCAGCAGCCCCAGCATGGTGTCCAGGCTGCCCTTGCTACTGGGTCCTGGCAGGGTTGGGGATCCCTCATCTGTGGAGCTCACTGCTGGTGTCTGGGTTGGCCCAGAGGCTGGAAGCTGCAGTGGGGAGGAGATTACAGTTGAGTCAACAAGGTAGCAGACACAGAAGGGTCTAACATGGGCAGGGAGTCACAAATTGACACCAGTTAGACCTGCCTGACTCACATGATTCTGGACACGGAAGTCTGAGAGTGAGGCCATCAGTTTGTCCAGCTCCAGAGTGGCTGAGGTGGCTGAAGGCTTTGGGACACCAGAAGAGGGGCTGGAAGAACTGCAAAGAACAAGCATGCATCATGTCAGAGCCTTTCAGAGGAACACTCCCTGGGGGGACTCAGACATCCAGACTTGTCCCCTCTCTCTCTCCAGTCCTGCCAACTTTGGCAGACTCACAGGCTGGGTCTTTTCTTATCTTCAGACTGGTCCTCTTTCTGTTCCCCTGCAGTCACCTTGCTAGATGGGAACTGAGACATTATTTCATCTGGAGAGACAAAAGGAGAACACTGGATATGGGGCCATGCTCAAGGCATTGTGTCCCTTTATCTGCTCCTCTGGGAAGACTGTGCCCCTTACTCTCTGCCCTGCCCTGCCCCCATCCCATCAAGGTCTGTCTCAGTAACCCAGTACCTGTGATGTTGAACTGAGTAGCATTAAGTTCCTGAAGCAAACGGTCTAGCTCACAGAGCCCAGTGCCCAAGACACCACTGGAAGAGGAGAATGGAGGGGCCGCAGGGGGCGCAGGCTTTGGGGACCGAGGCTTGCATACCGTACTGAGAAACAGGGCGGGAGCTTGGGTTTAGGGGTGGAGAATCCAAACCTCACCTGAGCCTCAGCTGGCTGCCCCATCCCTATGCCCGGGTTCCTCAGGCCTCTCACCTGTATAGATGGTCCTTGTCCCCAGAGGTTCCTGAAGATTCCTCAGGCCCTGTCTACAGAGAAGAGATGCATGTGTGGAATGAGAGGACCCCACTCTGGTTAACCTTAGCCCTGGCAGTGCCCCAGGCTTCAAATATCTGATCTCACCTTCGGCTGGTGTCCATAGGGTGGGGGAGGTGTGAGTGGCTCTGGGGGCCGCTCTTTTGGAGCCCCCGATCTTGGCATGTGTGAGGTGGTGGTCTCCAGGTCAGAGAGCAGGGCATCTGCAGAGAGAGGCCCTTGGGATGAGATACTGAAGGGCTCAAGGTTTGGCCAGAGACAGGCCTTAAGAGATTAGAGGGTAGGGGTTCAAAGTCAGCGGTATTTGACAAACATAAAAGCCAGTATTAAAAGCAGAGGTTAAAAAAAAATATAAACACAAGGCCAATCCAAGGCAGAGAAGTAGGATAGCAAAGAGTATTTATGACCAGACATTGGGAGTGGGCTCATCCTGGGACTCAAGCACTAACCCGGCCACGTGATTCTTTTATTCTCATCTTTCCTGATGCAGCCGAAATTGGCTCTTTACTGAAGTCAACTGGGATCTATTCCAGATTGCTCAACTGGCTGTATGCCTGGGCCCAGCGTCCTGATTTGCTGCTCTCCCTGCCGCACTTACTAAATTCCCCGGCCCCACTGAGTCGTTGGCCTCTCTAGTGTGACCAGGCTTTTTACTGGCTTCTTCTCCACAGTACTGGTGCCAGGTACCCGTAAGTTACTGATGAGCACCTTCCACTGGAGGGTGCTGCAAGCTCTGCTCTTCCAGAGAGGGCACGAAATTCCAGCCCCAGTCTCAGCAAATAGGGAGGACCAGACAGCAGGGTCCTCCTCCTTGTCCTATGAAACACCTTACCGCCTAACCCGAGTGCTGTGAACGCTTTGCACACCTGAGAGCCCTGCCCCTTCCCTCACACGGGAGCATCTTGGTGGCTGCTTCAAACCTGTCTCCAGTCCCGTCACTCCATCTATTCTTTCCTAGCCCAAGGACTTGACCTCGACTACACTTAGGAGTCTATGACTCTTCCCGTCCCCAAACCCTGGCCCGCCGGCGTGCCGGCTCTCATCTCGAAACTTGATGTCATTCTCTCCCTTCCCGACCCGGGGCTCAGCCCAGCCTAAGGCTCCTCCTTCCCCGAGTCCAGGCGTCCGCGGGCGCCGCTCCTCCCTGTCCATCCAGCGGAGCGGGACTGAAGCCGCCCGGCGAGGCAGGAGGGAGGGAGCGGCCAGCCAGGAAAGGCAGGAAGGGAGAGGCAGGAAGCGGGACGTGGAGTCGGAGAGGAGGCGCGGACGCAGACCCCGAGCCGGGGCGAGGGCGCGGGAATAGGGAGCTTCGGGAGCGCGCGGGCCGGGTGGGACGCGCAGCCGGCAGGGCGCAGGGATCGGGCCCCACTTACCCAGGTCCTCCATGGCGGGGCGCGGGCGGCCGCGCGGGGCGAGCAGGGCGGGGGCCGTGTCCGGTGGGGGCGGGGGCCGGGGGACGTCCGGGAGCTGGAGGCCCGGCCGTGACCATGTAAGGAAGCCGGGACCCGCTGGGATTGGGGGGGGGGGGACGGGAGAAGCCGGAGTCGGGGCGTGGAAGAAAGGGAGCACCAGGGCCCACCCAGGCCCGGCCCGCCGGCCTGCCGCGGAGGCAGCCACACCCCAGCCTTGGCCTCCGCTGCAGGGAGCCCCAGGCCGGCAGAGCTGGGAGTCAGAAGCAGCCGTCCCAGACTAGCGAGATTCAGGACTGAAGCACCCAAGCACTCACCCCGCCCCCCAAGCCAACACCTGAGTCCTAGATAGACGCCCTTTCTCACCTAGGGCATTCCAGAGACTTGGCCCTAACGGAATGCTTGAACTGGAAGCAGGAGTGAGGTTCTGAGGATCTGTCAAACCCCAGGTTCAGTTCTCCTAAGGGAAGACACTGACATCCAAATAAACACAGATGCCAGGTGGCCACAGACTGCACACAAATCCCTGAGACAGACAACAGCAAATAGCACAGGTACACACAGATTCTAAGGTAGAACCTTGCAGCAAGATCTGGAAATTGACTGACAGAACAAGGAACTGAAACTCAGACCCATGTAGACTTGGAGAAAGTACTATCAGGCAGCCAGATCCCAGACAGCCTGCAAGACAATCCCCTCAGCAACCCTGAGGTGACCAGGGCTCCCGATGCAAAATAACCATTTCCCAAGTTACTGATGAAAGAGGAAAGGCAAAAGGCAGACTCCAGCCACAAAGTAAGAAGTTCTTCCCAGACTGATAACCTGAGAAATCAAAGAGGGAACGTGATACTGCAGAGATGGGCATGGACAGACAGCTGGTCCGCAGCAACTCTGGCGGACAGACCTGAGTACTGGGCCTAGAAGCAAGTCAGAACCTGAGAAGCTCTCTAAAAATGCTGATGCCTAGGGCACTTCAAGTCCAATTCAGACAGAAAGGGCCCCAGCCACCATGGAGACATGTCTGAAGTTTCCTTGGAAAATCAAAAAGCTGATAGGGAAGCAAGAAGGACAGCTTTACAGGCCTTCAAGTTCCCAGCCTTATCCCCAGTTCCTGGGGAACCATTTTGCTCCTTCCTCAAAGCACATAGTGACAAGCTATAAAAATCCTATGCAGAAAGTGGGCCTCAGGCTTCTGGAAAGACAAAGCCAACCAGACCATAAACTGAGCTCTGGCAAAACTGCCTTTGTGGAGAGACATCCTAGTCCTGGCTCCAACTGCCACCAGTAGTACTGATGAAGGTCATAATATGCCCCAAGCTGGGCTGTTTGCTTTTGAGATGTGATATGGAAGGTCTTTTCTGTCCTTTGATATGATAGTAAACCCAGAGACCTGGAGACTCTTACAATAGCTCATTAATCTGGACCAAACACAACAGGCTCTATATGGGAACAGAGTCCTGCCAGCTCCTGGCCCAGGAGAACCACCTCCTGTCCATCTGGGAAACTGAGTGCTTGTAAAAACTTGGAGAGAGGAACACCTGCTGACCAACTAAAGGCCAAAGTGGAAAAGCCCCTTCTCAGAAATTCTTGCCACACCTACTGCAGTTAAGATGGCAGAGATAATTGGATTCATCTTTGCAGAATAAAGCCAGTCTTACTTTTTTTGTTTGTCTTTTTGAGACAGGGTCTCAATATGCAGTTCAGGCTGGCCTTGAGCTCACTTTGTAGCCCAAGCTGGTCTCGAACTCACAACAATCCTCCTGCCTCAGCCTCCTGAGTGCTGGGATTACAGGCGTGAGCCACCACGCCTGGCAAGCCAGTCTTACTTGAACAGTCTGAAGAACAAAATCACCCAAAAGGAGAGAGCCACTCCTGTGGTCCTTTGGAAGTCTTCATATATTACAACCACATATTCCAGCCACACATCTCACTTATATAGAGAGCACATATAACTTAGCTTTCCATTCTGTGTGGCAGTCTTGTCAGCTCTCTTCCTTTTTTTGTCAGGAGTTCCCTACTATGTTGTATAATATACACTTAGTGAGGAAATAAAAAGTCAATAAAGTATCAAATATGTAGTGAGTGCTTAGGATACCAACATTTTCACCTCAGCTGCATAGTTTCTACAAAACCTAAAATATAACAACAAAATAAAAACCTGTAAACTGCAATAAAAATACCAGTAGAACTCTACAACAAAATAATCTTTGCTTCAATTGTCACCCCTAAGGAGTCTTCACATGTGAAAACTCCATGTCCATAATGCAAGTATTGCATACAATGATAACACATATATTTTGTTTTCCTATCCTTTCTTGCACAGCACAGTTATTTGTTTTTTGTTTGGTTTTGGTTTTGGTTTTGCTGTTGTAGTAGGTTGTGGGGATGCTGGATTTCACCTGGGTACACCTGTCTGTTCACCCATCAACTCACCAGCATGCTCCACAACTTTTTCAAGTAGTCCCCTGGGCAGAAACCCTTTGGTTTTCCTCTGCTGTAAATCATCTCTTATGAGCTCCAGTTCCAAACCTCTAAGATAATTTCTCCATGTTTTTACACTTGTTATTTTCTCTTTAAACTATCAAACTATTTATGCCACGAGTTTAGGGTCAAGTAAAACACAATGGCCAATGGTTTGTGTTTTGAGTGACATCATAGTTCCTGCCTAACTCATCAACATCTGCTCTACCTTTGCTTTTGTTGTTGAAAGCTGCCATCTCAGGTTTCCATTTTCTTGAGGTTTCTCTATCAATATTTCCATCGTGGTGCAATGTTGACATCAGCAGTACCAGCTTGCTTTTCTTTGTCATATACAAGGCCAATGTTATATCTTGTGAAATCCAAAGATTGTACTGTACAATTCTCTGTTTTGAAATTCTAACATTTCATTTGGAATTTCTGCTTTGTTCCTATGTAGTTCCTGTGCTCTGTTAGCAAATATAACATTGATTGGAAACTGATAAACCAGTTGTCTGTCACATTCAATTAGTTTGGCAGGTGGAAGGAACAAGTCCATCCACAATATCATTTGATTTATTACTACTCAAATAAGGACGTAGTGGTTGAGTTCTAGAATAAATACCCACATTGAAAGCATAAGTCTTCACATCTACGAAGGCATATTTTTATTTTTCTCATTTTGAGACAGGTCTCACTATGTTCAGGTTGGATCTGAGCTCACTTTATCGCCCAGGCTGGTCTCAAACTTGCAACAACCTTCCTTCCTTAGTCTCCCGAGCGCTGGAATTAGACATGTGTGCCACTATGCCCAGAAAATGCATAATTTTTATGCCATGTTTTGACCCATGACTTTTCCATAAGTGTCTTACATTCCTGCAATCACCATAAGAAATCAGTGCTAAGTACGGCAGATCTATGAATGCTTTCAGTTCAACTAGTGAGGTGTCAAATACATTTTTAAATATGGCTGTTGGTGCATGCAATATGTTTTCCTGGTATTTCAGTGTTTGTGTATTTCAAAGCATCTTGTAACATTTCCTTTGCTACACTTTCCAACATTGAATGGCAATACTGGCATTCTGTCCAGTACATTTCAGCCTGGCCCAGACTCTCACTATAAATTCAGACCTACTTCTAACATTGGATCATCTAGTCATTTCAACAGTCAAACATTATTGTTTTCTTGTCATCTGAATCAAGGTCTGCATTCCCTTTTTGTGTTTTATATCAGTCAATTTTTGCTCCATTTCACTGTAACAGGAACCTTGGCTCACCATCATTCACCCACACCACTCTTGTTATGAAAACATGTATTTTACCACAACAGATCATCATTATCCATCCATGAATGATTCACCTTTGACCTCCTTCAAAACTTGCAAATCTGGTTTATCATAGGCCATTGTTTTGGACTACTTCTATAACAAAAAATCAAAACTTTAAAAAAAAAAAAACAAATCCTGGAATCATGTGGAGTCATTACACCTGTGATGCTCACATAAGGACACGCCAAACCTGTGAGACGGAGCATCATATGGGCAAAAATCCTGGTTTGATACTTTTGCACATACCTTGCCTTTCATACCAAGTGGAAAACTTGTTTCCTGTATTCCTCTTGCAAAGGTACTGAGACACACAGCTGGCTACTATTATGCTAACATAAAAATTTATAGTAGAAAAGTAAGGAAAGTGTGTTTGTGCCATGGTTTATTAAAGGGGGGGCAGGCATGAGTACTTTTAAAGTTCTCTATAGGATCCTAATGCAGCATTTAGGAGAGCCAGACAAATATCCAGAGGCATGGTGAAAGCAAGTGCCACCCTGAGCTCCACACTTGCAGACTCAGCAGTACCAGACCAGAGCTCTCCTTGAAGTCAGCCCTAGGTCAGTCAAGGATCCACAGGTCAGATACAAAGATCTTTTCTTGGAGATTGGATACTGTGAGCACCAGCACAGAGCTTTATCCATGTTCTCTGGACACGGATAAAACAGGTTCCTGGAGACCTCCCCAGAGCATCAGATAGTAAGAAACTTGGCCTACGAAATGAAGAGACCCAAAAACTGAAGGCCCAAGGACAAAGGACAGTCAGGATGCAGGCATGTCAAGGCTGTAGACAGGGTTCCTTCAGTAACACTCTCTCCGTGCTAAGTTTTGTGTCCAGCTGGTGACTATATCTAAGCAACACAACGCTGTGAGCAGGAAGCAGGCTTCCCCTCGGACCCCAAAACTCATCTCAGACAGAAGGCTGGAAACTGCCCCACAAGCCTGCCTCCAGGACACACTGGACAGTAACTTACTAAACTCCTCCATGACAAAGGCAGCGCAAGGCAAGGCAGAGGTCTGGGCCAGACCCTGCTTGAGGTGTGAAAGGATGAGGGGACTGCCAGCCGCACAGCAAAGCAAGCCAAGACACCTGATAGTGGGATCAAACTCCAACATCTTTAATTTCAGCTCCACAGGGCAGGCCCAAGCCAGGTATCTAGGGCCCTGGGCTGTTCCTCTTCTCTCAGGCCCCACAGCCAGATCTTGGCCCTGGTTCCTCATGTCTTGCTTTAGACCATCATCCTGGGGTCCAGTTCCATCCTCTCCTCAGTCCTCGGTGGTGAAGCCTTCTGCTCAGCTTCGTCTTGTGCCACTCTGAGAGATGCGTCCTTTACAGCCAATGAATGGGTCCTTGGGTCTTCTCCAGGGCAATCAACTTTCTAGGCTGGGACTCTTGCCCCCTGACTCAATCCCCATCACCACGGACAGTAATGCCTCAGTAAGAGGCCCAGCCTCCTCACCCGCTGCCTCCACGAGCCCTGCGAGGGCCAGGGCCCGCTTCCTTGGGCACCGCGCTGGCCCCAGTGTCCAGCGTGCACAGTAGGCAGTTAGTCGGGGACGGCCCAGGCGGAATACTTCACCCACTGATTCTGGGGAACCCTCAGGACCCAGGTGGATGCGGCCTACAGCTTCTTCCAGCTCTTCCTCAAGACTAGGCAGCAAAAAACGTCCAGCAGCCTCCAGGGCCTCCTCAGCCTCTGAACCTAGCAGTGGCTGCCCTGCCAGGGGGATGGGCCCCAGTGCAGCCCCACAGCCCCGGCAGCCATGCAAGTGATGCAGGATAGGCCAGGCCGCACTGGGTGACAGGCCTCGAAGTGGCACCAGGTCCATATGGGCTTCAGCAAAGCTGCCAGATAGCAGGGCCCGGAAGAAAGGGGAGGCAGTTGCTGAGACTGCTCGCTGAGCAGGAAGCTGCAGCCCAGAGTCCAGCAGAAAGTACAGGTCAGGAGCTGGGACGGGGGCTGGACCCAGCAGAGGTTCATAGAGGCAAGGGGAGGGGGGTTCTACATCCACCGGGACTGCAGCTGGAAAGGCGGGGCTCATCGTGGGAGACACCAGGCCTTGGAGGCAGAAAAGGGAGTCTGCAGCAAAGAAGAGGAAGAGTGGGTGTGGAGCTGGCCGAGTTAATGCTGTGAGGAGGAGGCGGAGGCCACCCTGGTCCAGAAGTAGTCTACGCCAGAGAGAGGGCTTCCTGCAGAAAAAAAGGGGACCTTTTAGAGGATGGACAAAGGTGGATCTAGGGAATAGAAACTTTGCTCCCCTCAGCCCTATGAGACACCCACATCCCCCTCACCGGCAAATGAAGGGCAGGGTCAGTGCACAGGCTACACGATCCTCAGAGCTTCCAGACAGCAGTAAGTGAGTGAGGGCACCAACTCCAAAGGGTGACTCGGCCTGAACAGTCAGGTTCTGCAGCAGCATCTCACCTGCAGGATGGGCAGAGCAGGTTAGGGTGGGAGTGGTGTCAAAAACTGGTGTGACAAAAAAAAAAAAGACAGGTGTGACATGGGCATGGCAGGGGGCCCTTGAAAAAAGGACAATAGGACTCTGAGGCAACAAATCAAGGTACAGCAGAGAAGGGTGACTGCAGGCCTTGGCGGGGGTGAGGACACCAGAATTAGCAATCAAGGCCAAGAACAAAAAGTACGATGGTCACTGTGCAAGTCCCAGCCTTCGAGGACTCACACAGTCTACGGTGAGGACACAGAAGTCAGGGAAATCCCTGGCAGTGTTGGAAATTGGGGCAAAGCCTGGGAGGACATGGTAGCTGGGTCTGGGTTCATAAGTCAGTGTGCCCAGTGTGAAAGTCAGGACAAGGTGGGTAAAGAAATCAAGGTAAGTTATGTTTTACGGCTGGAGCTGAACCTGGTATCCACTTATCTGTGCTCCAAGGTTTGGAGAAAGAACAAAACATAACTGCATGTGGGGCTATGAAGCAGAAGGGAGCACTCCACACCCTCCCCTTCTCCCACCAGCCCCCAGCATCTTGTGGCTGGTGTTTCTTGGATTACGGGCTACAGAAGACAGTACGAGGGCAGCTAAGCAATAATGCAAGGTTCTGGCCCATGAGAGGCCCAGGAAGAAGACAGGACCTCTCCTGTGGGCAGGGAGATAGGAGACATACCCAGTTCTCGGTGCTGGTTTCGACGCACAGGCCGGGTCCGGGGTGCAGGCCAGTCATCCGGTGCAACACCAAGCACTAGCCAGGCACGCAGCAGTGCCGCACCGTAGCTGCGCACGAAGGCCTCAAGGCAGGCAGGGTTGCAGGTGAGGCGCGCCAGGATGCGGAGTGCACGTGGGTTTGGTGGGCCTGGTGCACCGGTCACATAGGCCAGCAGGCCACACAGTGCAGGACCGGTCACAAGGGCCCCGCTTGGGTCAGGAGCCTGAGAGAAGCGTGAGAGCAGCAGCAGCGCTGGCCCCTCCCGGCCCCAGGGCTCCTCAAGGGCAGAAGGGCCAGCAGGGCTTCGGCCCAGTGTGCGCGGTATGCCCGGGGTCCGCAGTGAGGTCTTCCCAGGGGTGGAACTGATGGGGTCTGTGGGCTCTGGCAGTGGACAGTGCTCAGGAGACCAGTCTGGAGAGACATCTCCAGCGTAGCCCTCAGAGATCAGCCATGACCTGCAAAAGGCAGAAGGAAAAGGAGACTGAACCCAGAGCCAAGTAAGGGAACAGAGGAAAAAGAGCTGTCTTGTGAGATGAGGTGGAGCCGGGGAAGAAGAGGAGCATAGATAGGGGAAAGTGGAGACTCAGAGTGAGGGGAATAAAAGAGAATCCCACTACAATGACTAATGTTTCTCATTGTTTTAACTGCTGGGAAGAAGCACTTGAACAAAACAGAAATCCTATTCTTCTGGACTTTATGTTCTTTCAAGGGAAACTAGATGGTATAAGTAAATGACATCGTTACTGTGACATCAGTGAGGTGTGAAGTGTTAAATAGGGAAAAAAGGGCACTGAAAGAGCTGGCAGAGGGGAGAATTGGTATTTTAAATGGTGTCGAGGCTACAGCTGAACACAGACCTGACACAGGCAGCATGAAGGCGCACAGCAGGAAAAGTGCCCTGGGTGAGAACAGCAAGAAGCCCCCAGACTGCATCTTCCTCTAGTGTTTAAAACCCAGGAAGGAGGCCAGAAGTGGTGAGAGTGAAGCCGACACGGGAACAGTCCCGATGAAGTCAGAGAGCTCACAAAGAAAGCTGCCACTGACCACTGCTTCGTGCCAAGTCAGGGACCAAGCGCCCTCCTTTCACTTTTACATACCTCCGTGGGGTGTGTGTACTGCTCTTTTCCATTTACACAGCAGGAATGAGAGGCTCGGAGAATTCGCTTCCCATGATGCTTCAGCAAGGGAGTAAGAGCCTGGGCTCTACCCCAGCAGACTATTGTAGTCACCAGTGTATACACTATCTCCCATCACACCTGTCAGGAGCCTAAAGCTCAGAGGCAACGCAGGGCCAAAGCCAACGGGAACATCAACCACGAAAGTGGAGGAATGTTTAATGGGACTAGAAAGTAGTCATGTCAGACAAGAAGGAATCAGGAGTGAGAGTCAATAAGTCTTACTGAGCTATAACCGAGGGTGAGGGTAGTGAAGAGGCCCGAACAGACACATCCCCACCCTAAAGCACTGCTCACTTTCCCAAGCCCGGAGCTGAGGACTTGCCTGAGGCTTCGGAAGCTTCCAGCCTCTGCCCGTTCAGGGGTCCGTTCCTCAGGGAAGTCCCAGGAAGCAGCTTCTCTCCCCTCTTCTTCCTCTTCGCCGGCATCGCCACACAGCTGTCCAGCCAGGAGAGGTACAAGTCCCAGGGCCTGCAGCCGGCCCAGGGCCCCAGTATCATAAAGGAAGCCCACAAGGGCAGCCACAACTCGTGGATGCCAAGCACTGGCACGAGGGTCCCGCAGCAGGCCCATCAGAAGCTCTAAGCCACCAGCGTCCCGCAGACGGGCTCGGTTGATGGCCTCTCGGCACAGGAGGCACACAGCCCGCACTAGGGGCTGCTGGGAAGCTGGACTAGCCCCACTGGGGCCACGGCGTCGCCGGAGCTCACCTAGTAATACCTCCACACCACCAGCATTGCCCAGTGCAGGCCGGACCAGGCCTTGGGCACATAAGTTGGCGAGGATCAGGATTGTTGTTTCACGAACCATCCGTTTCGGGTGAGAAGCCAGGCTGACGAGTGGGCCCAGCCCCCCACCCAGACTTAGCTGCTCAGCACAGGCCCGGGTACAGCCTCGGCTGAGTTCTAGGAGGGCACGCACGAGGGCTGAGGTCAGCGCAGGGTCTGGGGCAGCAGCCAGGAGCTCAGCCAGTGGGCGCACAGCTCCCTGCTGTGCCAGGGCCAGGCGGTGCTGCGGTGAGTCTGCCAGGTTGCGGAGGGCACGCACCACACTCTGCAGGCACTGAGAGTCCTGGCAGGCTGTCAGGCTCTCCACAAGTAAGGGAACAGCACCTGGTGGGGGAAAGAAAGGACACAGGGTAAGACAGATCCCTAAGCCCTTCTGCCCCAAGCCCTATCGAACCCCAACCTTGGCGCTTTCTCACCAGCAGAGTGGATCTCCCCACAGCTCTCAGGTTCCATGGCTAAGTTCCCCAGTGCACGAGCCGTTCGGTTCTGTATGCTGTCTGTCTTCACACACTGCAGAATGGTCACTGCAAGGGAAATTTAGGCTCTCATCAGTTACCTTAAGAATGTGGCTACTCAGCATCAAGGAAGGCCTTCAGAAGATGCTAAAACATAAGCTGGGATCAGAATCCTAAAGAGGCATTTGCCAGGTGAATGGTGGAGGAGGATTTCCACCGCAAAAGCTCAGAGGTAACACCAAGTGTCTGAGCTATATTCTCATAAAGAACCCTGAACTCCAAACCAAGAGGTCAAGACTTAAATGGGAAGGCACTGGGTACCATACAAGGATTTCAAGAAGGGGAATGACATGATACATTCAAGGGCATGGGAAAGAAATAGGGCAGAGGGAGTGGTGAGGAAGCTACCGGAATAAGTCTAGGTGAGGAAGGACAAGTCAGTTGCCTGTTCTGCCCAGCATGGTCTCTGAGCACCTAGTGGAAGCAGGGATGGAAAGAAGTGGATGGATTCAATACTTTAAAGGCAAAAGTGTGCCTGATAAAGAGTTAATACAACTAACAAAGCCTACCAATTATTGAGAAATTAAGAATGTTCTAGGCATCTTGGGAAGTACATTATGGTGTATTTGAACCATAATATGAACTTTTTATGCAAGTTTTAAATATACTGATGTTTCACTTTATCCAAAAAAAATTAAGATTTTGTTAAAACTGGCTTAATTTCATAAGGTGAGCAATGGCGTGTTGCTATGTTCTCATTATCGCCACCAGGGGGAGCCAATTTAGCAGGTAAACAGAAAAGCTTATCTTTGGTTGGGATTTGTTCTCATGGCGTAAATTTTCAATAATTTGAAGTACCCAGCCTGTGCTTAGTCCATGCATTGTAGTGCGTTTTCTCCCCACTCTTAATTTTTCGAGATAGCTATTATCCCACTTAAGAAGAAATCCTGAGTTGGAGGGGTTAAGTGACTTGCTTGTATGGCTTCCTAGACTACCTTTTGACCCACAACTACACCTTCTGGCCTCCAGCTCACTGTATGCGTGCGTGTGTGTGTGTGTGTGTGTGTGTGCGCGCGTGTGTGTGTGTGCGCGCGCGCGCGAAAGGGGGATAGATGTGCAGGACTGGACACATAGTGAGTGTCTGCTAGGAAGGTCAGAAACAGAGGTCAAGAAGGATCCGAAAAGTCATCAACTGGTCTCCATCTGTTCAGAGGCGAGCGAGGTGCCAATACCTACATAATGTCCACTATTATCTGCTGTGACAGAACTCGTAGGTAAACTACTAGGAAAGCAGAGGAGAGCAGTGACATCATGGGGCATGACGCCTTGGGAGACAGAGGCACAGCGCCGTCACAAACTATTCCAGACTGTCGATGACCACACCCGCATAGAGAGGCGTGGATGGAACCTTTCTAGGAAACGGGGGCGGAGCACTTACCTAAAGGGAGAATGCCTCCGAGTCTGCGCACTTCAGCCCGGCACGCCCCTTCCGTACAGCAGTTGGCTAGGATGCTGAGCGCCAAGTCCAGCGTTTTGCGCAGGCGCATTGGCGGCGAAGGCGAAGACGGCGACACAGCAGAAGAGGCGGGGTTAGGGGAGGGAGAGGGACCAGCAGAAGCAGCTGACGCAACAGACAAAGGGGCGGAGCCGGGGCCTGCGGGGGACGGGGCGGGGTCCGCTGCAGCCGCTCGCCGTAGCAGGGCGAGAAGTGGGCGGAGTCCGCCGCGTGCCCGGAAGCGCTCGATCCCCCCCGCTGCTTTGATGTGGCGCGTGCGGAGAGCCAAGAGCGCACGACCTAGGGGTGTCTCGTTGGTAGCTGGGTCCTTTCCCCCATAAAGACCCTCCCCGGCCGCCGCTGTGAGCTGCGCGAGGCAAAACGAGAGCGAGTCCGTGAGGGTTGCTTTCGCAGCCGCCATCTTGGCTCGGGCCTAAGGCTCCGCCCCGTCTCTCGCGGCTTATTCAGCAGCGGAACTGTAAAGAGAGAGGCGTGGCCAGGTTACTCCTCCGGGAGGGTGCTTAATCGGCGCAGCCGCAGTTAAAACTGGAGTCGGAAGTTGTAGTTCTTGGTTCCGGAACTGTGGTTCTGGTACAGACGCAGACACTTAGGGATTGGTAGTCATCTGAGCGGCAGATGAGCCTGAGAAGCTCGTGAGATGCGTGCTGGGATATGTAGTCTGTACTAAGTTGAACGTATTTAATTTAGAACATAAGACTGTTTCATGGCCCCATCTCTTACTTTTCTACCATAAATTTGTACTTTAATAGTATCCTGCTGTGGGCCTGCACCTTGCCTGACAGGGATACAAAAAGCAATCTACGTGTTACTCGGTTGGTAAGATAAACAGCAAGGAGTGTTCATGTGTGCAAAAGTATCAAAAGGGGATTTGAACCCATCTTTATGCTCTGTCTGGTTTTACCTGTTGGAACCCATACCACTCCAGGATTTGGGGAAGGAGATTAAAAATATTTAAAAAAAAATTTTTTTTTCTGGTTGAAGTAACCCAATTCAGTACAATGGCACATAAAAAAACCAGATTTGCAAGTTTTGGAGGTGGTTAAAGAGGAATCAGATTACTCATGCATGGATGATGAAGATGATTCATTATGGTAAAATACATGTTTTCATAACAGAATAGTTGGGCATTATCTTCAAGGATTGGGACTGGAGCTCATAAGAGATCATTTACAGCAGAGGAAAACCAGTGTTTTTGCCCAGGGAACGACATGAAAAAATTATGGCGCACACTGGTGAGCGGATGGGTGAACAGGCAGGTGTAGCATCCCCAAGACCTCGTACAACAGGAAATCTAAAAAGATGCCAACTGTACCCTAAAAGAAAGGACAGGGAAACAAACCATACGTGCTATCAATGTATGTGATACTTGCATTTGGACATGGAGTTTTAATGTGTGAAGATTACCTTGGTTATGACTGACAAATTTCTCCTTGGCGTGGTAAAGAAGCAAGAGCAGAAAAAAGAAAAAGGCCTTTGTTGCTCGCTTGGGAGAGCTGCAGCAGAATACAAGATCCTTCTGAGACAAAACTGCAGGTTTTTATTTGGTTTTGAGGGGTGGCGTTGAAGGGGTGGGCAGAATGACGTATTGACAGCTGATTGGAGAATGTTGGCACGCACCTGAAAAGCAGGAAGTTCAAAGTTTCAGGTTTGTAAGAAGAATGAGGAAGTCAATGTTGAAGGGAGGCGCTGTCCAGCACCACGAATTCTCCGGGTCTTTCTCATATCGATAAGGGAAAAAATGAAGATTCATTTGTGCCTGGGCTTGGGGGAACGAACATGCCTCTGGCTTTTGCTATTGAGAAAGGATGCTTGCAAAAATGTCTCTTTTTTTCTTTTTTGAAGAAGTATAATGCTTTGTAGTTCAGGCTGGCCTTGAACTCAATATGTAGCCCAAATTGACGTCAAACTCTTGACTATCTTCCTGCCTCAGCCTCCCAAATGCTAGGATTACAAGCATGCTTCACCTTGCCTCGCTGGATTTACTTTTCTAAGTGTTTAAAAATTATTTATGTAACCTTTACAGCAGTAAATACTATCACCATTTGACAGAAACCTGAAGCACAGAAACTAACTTGCTGGAGATTAAAATTTAAGCAATCTGAACCCAGAGTTCATGATCTTAAGTCTTCTATATGTTCCAGGAATGAAGAACGAGAGGACTCTGGGTGTTTAAAAACCAATTCTTCAAGTTTAGGCTCCCAAGTTTATGCATTCAACTCTCCAAGAAAGGTATTTCCATCAGAAATTTTGAATCATGAAATAATAAATAAATGAATTAGCAAATCTGATTTCTAAGTCAGTGATTTTCTAAGCCAGTAGCAAATTAGGAAAGCATATTCTTTAAAAGAGATCTATTTCCGAGCCGGGTGTGGTGGCTCATGCCTGTAATCCCAGCACTCGGAAGGCTGAGGCAGGAGGATCGTTGTGAGTTGGAGACCAGCCTAGGCTACAAAGTGAGCTCAAGGCCAGCCTGAACTGCATAGTGAGACGCTGTCTCAAAAAGACAAAAAAAAATCTGTTTCCTTTCCACTCCTTGACTTGTTTTCTTCCTTTCCTGAACAATTAGATCAAGGCCTCTAGGAACAAGCAGAACAAACAAATTAGTCGTTTTGTATGAGTAGTAAGACACAGTGAGCCAAAGCAGTGCTTCCAAGTCCTGACAAGGTGAAGAGGGTGTCCAATATAAGAGGGTGGCCTGATGTGAGGTATCAGCCTGACAGGGTTACAGGGCATTGATCAAGGATGAGGACAACAGGTCATGCTCTCTAGTACCCACCTTTTCTGAGCACACCCCAACTCTTAACATTATCTTTAGCTATAAGTCCTTCAGTGGACCAAATCATCAATGAGTATACACCCCATGACGCAATCACCTCCTAAAAGCCTATCTCTGTGGGTCATGAAGCTTTGTGGGGACATCCAGATATGAATCATAACACTTTTCTTCCAAGCTAAATAGTTCCTCAGGGTTTTCCAGGGATCTGAGTTTGGGTAAGAGGTAAAGGTGTGAAGGTGAGTTTGTTTTGCACCCTCTTTCCACCAACCTCATTTTACATTACAATTCTGTATCACCTTCATTGCTTTTTTTAATTGGTTTTATTCTGTTGTATGTTTGATTTTATTATGTCTGATGATATGGGCAGTATTTTGAAGATAAGAAGTATTATGGTAGTGGATTTCCTATTCTTTTGAAGTCTTGTATCATTTCCACTATTTTATTTTGATTGGCTTTATTCTGTTTTGTTTTGTTTGGTTTTATTCTCTTTAAAATAAAATCTCAGCCTATTTATTTCTAGCAACCCATTCTCATCATCAGCTTTAGCTACCAAGGCCCCAATGTGGAAAGAAAAACATGGTTCAAATTCTTTCTATTTTTCTTTTTTTGTTTTTATTTTCTGAGACAAGGCCCTGGTATGCAGTTCAGGCTGATCTTGAACTCACTTTGTAGCTCAGGCTGGCCTTGAACTCATGGCAATTCTCCTGCCTCAGCCTCCTGAGTGCTGGGATATAGGTGTGCACCACCATGCCTGGCTCAAACATGGTTCAATTTCATGTTTAAAACAACACTTTTTCTCCCTGTACCTGTTACTACTGCAACACTGCCACAGAAAATCCCCATGTCTCCTTTACCTCATGGACCTTAACAAAATATGCAGCCAATTGCAGTAAGAAATGGCCTCATCTCATTTATCTTAAGAGAATTAAAACAAACATTATCTCAAAATTTCTGTGGGTCAGGCATTTGGGCTGAGTTTAGTTGGGTGCCTCTCGCTATATTCAAGGTGTCAACCAAGGCCACAATTATATCAAGGCTCGATGGGGAGCTGTTAGAAGGCCTGATGTTATCCCTGGCTGTTGGCCAGAGACATACTTTACTGTGTGAGTTTCTTCTTGTAACAAACCTAGGAACTGGCATCCCAACAAATGATTGAGAGAGTGAGAGACAGCACCCAAGTGGAAGCTACAGTCCTTCTATAACCAACCATTGGAAGTAACACCCCATTCCCTCTATGTTCTCTTGGCTGAAGAAAATCATAAATCCAGTCCACACTCATGGGGGCACATGGGTGCCTTCTTTCTATTTTTATTTACTTGTGTCTTTTTTGAGACAAGATCTTGCAATGCAGTTGAGGCTGGCCTTGAGCTCACTTTGTAGCCCAATGATCCTCCTGTCTCAGCCTCCTGAGTGCTGGGATTACTCTCCTTTTTATTATGTATTATTCTTTTTGAGACAGGATTTCACTATGCAGTTCAGGCTGGGTTTGAACTCACTTTTTAGGCCAGGCTGGCATCAAACTTGCAGCAATCCTGCCTCAGCCTCCTGAGTGCTGAGATTATAGGCATGTGCCACTATGCCTGGCTGTTTTCTCCTTTATAATGATGTCTTTTGAAACACAGAATATTTATGTTGTTATAGAGACTAGTTCTTACATAGTTTCCTTGGTTGCTAGCACTTTTGGTGTCATATCTAAGAAAACATTGTCTAACCTTAGGTTATAGTTTTAGTTCTTACATTTAAGTCTGTGATCCAATTGAATCAATTTTTAAAATATGGAAGTGAGGTGGAGTACAAATTCATATTTGAATGCAAATGTCTACTTCGTATACTGTAATTTTGCAGGATGTATTAGCTCTAGTAGGTTTTCTTATGAATTCTTTAGGTTCATCCATGTATAAAATAATCTCATCTGTGAACGGAGATAGTTTTACCTTTTATTTTCCCATGTGAATGCTTTTGATTTCTTTTTCTCTTCTAGCTGCTCTAGCTAGAAATTTCAGTGTAAGACTGAATAGAAGTTGCAAAACTGGGTAGTTTTCTTTACTTGTTAATCTAGGTAAAGTTTTCAGTTTTTTTTCACCGTTATCTATGATGCTATACATTTTTTATAGAAACCCTTTATCAGGGTGTGGTGGATTAACTAAAGGTCAACTTGTAATGCCCAGCTGAACTAAATCAGCATGGTGCTGTGGAAGACTGATTGCTGCCAACAGCATAAGGGCAGATGGTATGCAGTTGATTCTCGTAGAGAAGCTTGTCATGCTGGCTTTCCTGATATGAACTCGGCTGTTCTCATTCTTAGAGGAGCTCGGGCCCTCACTGTTGCTGAGATGGCTGTGGTTTTCTGTGGGAAAGCTCTGATCCTTACCTTGAGCATTGCTTCCTGGCTCCATTTGCAGATCCTTCAGCCTGCTGGCACAAATCCTTCATCCTACTGGCACAGCCTTTCTAGCTTCCACTACTGACCTTTGGGCCTTGCCAGTGCAGATCCTTGATATGGATTTACATGAGACATTGCTGTAGGCTCTAGGCCTCCAGCTGGACTTGTGGAGGACATTACTATGGGCTCTAGGTCTTCAGTAGGACTCATGCAAGACAATGTCATAGGATCCAGACCCTCAGGTGGATTTTTTGGGTCTCTAGTGTGCAAATCTC